TTGTTAATGGGCCGACGTCGAACTACTCACGACGCAGTGGGCTAGTGGCAGAATAGCACGGAACAGAATGAATGATATGCAACGGAAAGGTAAAGAGGTTGAAGGTCCAGCCATCCCGTTTTCTTCATGCTTACAAGTTACATTTGTCAACATCTTTTCACCGAAGATACTGGCATCAGACGCTAGGACGAATGTCGGACAAGAGAGCGTTTGGGGCAAACAAGGTTAAAGGGGAAACATGTGGCGAAGACTAGGGACCTCTAGTATATGTAATTCAGGAGAACTATAAGAATTGTAATTCTTTGATTAGACTTTGTACGGCACCCCTCTTCTTAAGGTGTAAACCACTGGAGTCCGGCCTGGATCAGTCCGGTGGCCGTGCTTGGGAACAACCGTAGAATGCACCCAGTGTGTCAGGGCGCAGCGTGATCTTGCGGCAACAAGTTTACCATAGTACAGTATTTGAGATTGTACCGTCATAGGGACGAGAGAAGTGAGGCCGTGTCCGGGATCCCCCTGAACAGACGGCAGGAAACGAGGGACCATGATCTGCACAGGGACGAGAAGGAATGGATCCGATGGACGATCTTGATCGCCGTAGGTGGCGATGCCAACGTCGGTCATGGAAATTTTGACACCGGTTCAACTCTCAACTCTATTTGTGCCGCTTCTCTTCATGATTTGGGCCATGACAAGAAGCTGCGGTCGCGTGATGTTGCAGCGCGGGCTTGGGAAATGCGCTGGACGTCACGACGGCCGACTAGCTGAGCTGGTCATCCCATATCTGAATCTGCTTTGGCCAGCGTCGTCCGTCCACTTACACAGAATTTGTCAGAAACGAGGTCCGAGGCCGTCCAGCTGTTGCCAATGGCATGGCGAGGGAATAGGGCGCCACGTGTCAGCTCTGCAATGGTAAGCAGAGCTACTCCTTTGGGGTGGGAGGAGCATACTGCAGGGTGGTTATCTGGTAAGTGACCTAGAACGACATTTGCATTGAGAAGGGTGTTGAAAGGTACATTCGCCATGGCAACGGGCTATGGCGAGAGACGAATATAGTGACGGCATAGAATATGAAATACTGGCAGGGGCTAGCAAGGATTCCGATTTCTTTTGAATGGGACATGAAGCGTCCGACTCGATGGTGTACGGCAGCCTGCAGGGCGCACTGGTCCAAAAGTCAGAAATTCCCTCTTTAGGACAAAAAGATAATATAGATACGGTATGGTGTGTATTTAGGCCCACTTATAATCTCTATTAATAAGGTCTAATTGGTTTAGATATAATGCTTACATAACCTTACTACACCCCATAGGCCTATAAAAGGCTTAGCCCTGATCCTAGTCTTTTACAACTTCCGGCTTATTTCCGTAGGCCAACGCCTGCCCACTGTTGCCAGCGCCTGCCCACTATTGCCAGCGCCTGCCTACTATTGCCAGTGTGCACCACTATTGCCAGCGCCTGCCCACTGTTGCCAGCGCCTGCCCACTATTGCCAGCGCCTGCCCACTGTTGCCAGCGCCTGCCCACTGTTGCCAGCGCCTACCCACTATTGCCAGCGCCTGCCCACTATTGCCAGCGCCTACTCACTATTGCCAGCGTGCACCACTATTGCCAGCGCCTGCCTACTATTACCAGCGTGCACCACTATTGCCAGCGCCTGCCCACTATTGCTAGTGTGCACCACTATTACTAACGCCTACCCACTGTTGCCAGCGCCTGCCTACTATTAAGAGTATACACTATATTTATTATTTCTTAATACTTATATTTATCTTAATAGAATTAAAGATTCTTGATTCTTATATTTATCTATTATTTATACTTAGAATTATATTCTCTCTAAGGAAAAAATTTAGACTTTGCCACTAGCCTGTGCACCTTAAGCGAGCCAATCAAAGTAAAGTCCTAAGAGTTTTGCAAAGGGGTAGGTGTAGCAACCCAAGTTGACTTTTGGAACAGTGCGCCCTGCAGGCTGCCGTAATGGTGGAGCCGCAAGAGCATAAAACAGCCCGTGCGAGGAACTTGGGGAGGTTGAAAGGATAGAAAAGTAGCAGGGTAACAGCGTAGTGTGGACGTGTTAGAGTTGCGGGACGATAAATTGGCAGCGATGTACCTTGTGGTGGTGGCGATGGGTACCTAGATTACGTCAAACAAACCCAAGCACGGACAAGGGTGCAGAGTGGGTAAAGTCAAAGCAGAACTGGTGGTGCCAAAACAGGTAGAATTAAAGATATCTGATAACGATGTATGAGGGAGAACCTCCTCCCCCCCTTCTCTAGCCCAGTGCCAATCAGTGGCTGGTTTATTGGCTCGGGTGCGTAGTCGGTCGAGACGAAAGAAGGTAGAAAAGTACAAAAATATTCCTCGGAGAGGGGACAGAGACAGGAATCCTGGTGCCATGCCTGTATGTATGTACTATGTACGATGTAGAATCTAGTAGTGCAGGTATGCTTAATCTGGCACGACATGGTGCTTCCAGCCGCACGGAAACTAAGGCAAAGTCAAGGTTGCTGCGCATCCGCTGCCCTGGAGCCCACGAACGAGCCCAATTGGTCCAGCCAGGCTTTGCCACTAGTGAATTTTGGTTCCCGTTCCATGCCTCGAGCAGGGACCCGAGGTCCGGTTTCTTCGCTACCCCCGCGTGTGATGAATGAAAGATGGATATTGTTGTTCACCATGTTCAGCCGTCGGCCACTTCTTCTAGGCCGTTGGGCTAGTTTGCACGGCCTGAATGTCTTAATGTGCCTCGGCAATTTGCCATCAGCCTGATGCCAGCGCGCCATCCCGTAACTCTCGTTGTGCCACGCTGCTGTCAGCTCGCAAAGCACCGACTTTGCACAGTCTCTCTGTCTCAGTCCTACACTACACTAGACGGCAAGAATTCGGTTTGAGCCTACCAGCCGCCGTTGTTCGTCACTTCGCAGCAAGCTCGTCGTCACAAGGTTTTAACTCGCTTGCGCACAACACCCTTCCATTCCTATAGTAGGTATGCTAGAGACGAATCATGACACCACCAAACCGAAAAGTACCTCCTGGATGAGCGGCCCTACAGCGCTGGTGCATATCGCGGACGCACGTCGCGGGTGATCGACCTGAAGATGAAGTAAACATTCCATGATCTCCTCGTATAGTTATTTTAAATATGTGGCACCATTCGGGAGATCGCGCGAGTGGCCCGAGGACGATATTCGAAACCACGCCTGAAAACGGAGATCAGCGAAACGGAGAGAGATGGCACCCAGGCAGCGATACACGCACAAAACCACTGGTGCTACGGCTCTCATACGCCAGCCGACACGACGCGCTCCAGAACCAAAGGCCACCCGCACACACGGCGAGGCAGGGACCGCTGCTCGAGTCGCCCGACTCCCAAACGCGTACCAGCGTTTCCAAGCCCTGGAGACGGAGGCTCTTCTAAACTACTTCCAGGGCGCAAATCCCCACTACCAAGACTTTCTTTTACACTAGTCAGTGGAAAGAACAGGCCCGTGAAGTCTTGGCTTACAGGACAGAACGGTTCCCTGTGAACATCACGGAAGATTCTCCCTTTCTTCACGTCGAGGATCTCCGCCAGCATCCCCCGTCTGATCGCCGAAACCGTAAACTTCTTGGCCGCCATAAGAAAGGCTGGCTGACGGGCCAATCGGAACTCTTTGAGCGTTTCTTCTTGCACCCCTTACACCTAAACCAGCAAACCCACCTGCTGACTACACACAAGACAGGTGCTGCCACACACACACACAAACAAGCATGGCTACCACCCAAAACGGGCGTGCCTCAGTTGTTCCCCGTGTCTTACCATGTGTTATCAGGTATCACTGACCACTGTTCGTCACACCGCGTGTGCTCTGCTTGAAGACTCGCTACCCGAGCGCCCAGGCGCAGCACGGCCGTTTCTCGCCAAGACCTCCACTGAAACAAAGTTGTGAACAGAGGTTTGCCAAGCTTCATGCACTCAAGAAACCTAGACTTGCATCCCTGTGTTCTCTCTTGACCCTCCGCTGGCCTCTGTCTGTGGCTTAGATGGCCGGCCTTCAACCCCGATTTCCCAAAGTAGCAAACCTGGCAGCGCATCCCCCTTCCCGCCCTCTATGTCGTGACCCCTCCGCACATCGAATCTGCACATCACTCCACGCAGCCTAGATTATATCTTACCCGTCGTATACAGGTTGGTAAGAAGGGGTTAAGCATAGTGACGTATTCTGGGATGCGGCTCTCAATTCGGGCGCCTATCCGTCTCTGTTTCTGGAAGAAGACTCCATCGCCTTGGATGCGATTTGCTCTAGCCGCTTCTTGGCAACTGTTTCCCAGCCAGCCTCCCCTCGTATCTCGATGAGAACCCGCTTAGCGACCAGCCCAACTCACCCTCCGACATCGCCATCGTCTCATCGTCTCATAGGTTTGTTTCTAGCTCACGGTGGGCAAGATTCTATTCCAATTCATCTTCCGAAGTACAGGGCTACGCCACAACCGAAACCACAAACGCCCACACCTGCACCCCCTTCTACTGCACGCCTCTCCCGTCATGGCTCACATACCACTCGCATCGGAGTGATACCGAGCTATGCTTGAGGTTGACTCTGGCTGATGGCTGAAGGGTCCTAGCCACTGGCAACACATTGACCCCGACGAAGGGTTGCAGGGGTGCAAGGTCTCTTCGGGGATGCAAACTAGACCGGCGAGGATGAGTGGTCTGTCTGCCTGCATGTGTGTGAGAGAGAGAGTGCGAGACAGAGGCGAGCGAGGTACAGCCGAGACCAGACGACCATGGGGCTTCGTTTCCAGCAGACTTGGAGACTGCCTCGGTGCGGCGGATTCAACTTGGAACAATCTGATTCCGAGCCTCCTAGTCCGTCCCATCTCGGCCCAAGAAATTTGTCAAAATTTCGTCCCCACTCAACAACTATTGATATGGAATGCCAAGCAGGAACAGTCAAGCTCTTGTATATAACTCTCCCATCCACACCACCGAATCTACCCTTTCCTCCTCATCACACAGCATCACAACAAAGCAAGCCTTTCACTTCAACCAATTTTCCACTTTCCTTACTCATTTCAGCCCCGGTGGCTCTCTACGAATAACATATCTTTAATATCAGAAAGCTCATCCTCCGATTCTCTCTAGTTTCACCACCACCCCAAACTCTCATTCAAGATGCGTTCCCAGTCCCTCCTCGTCGCAGCCTTGGCCGCTTCCGTCTCTGCCCACGGCACGCTGTTGTCTATCGAGGGTTCCAACGGCGTCAGCATGCCCGGTCTTACCAGTAAGCCTCCAACCATGATCTCCGGCTCCAACAAATCATCAGTTGCTAATCCTGCCCCTCGTAGTCGCCGATGGAACTCCCCGTGACTGCTCTTCAAACGGCTGCGGCTCTCAGGCCGACACCGCCATCATTCGTGATAGCGAGATCGCCTCCGGCAAGGCCAGCCCTCTTGGTCGCACTCAGGGCAACGGCAAGGTCGATGCCTCGGTCATGATCAACAACTTCATGGGTGGTGACGCAGCTCCCAAGAGCAAGGGCAAGGCCGCCGCCACCGGTGTCGAGGATGATATCCCCAACATCAAGCGCGCCGAGCTCTACGCTCGCCAGGGTCTCGCCGGTCTCTTCGGAGGTGGCAAGAACCAGGGCAAGAAGGGCACCAGCGTTCCCGAGGCCCGCGTTGCCGCTACCGCCGGCATGGGCGCCTCCGAGGGCATGCCCACCTGCGCCGATGACGGCACCATCACCATGACATTCCGCCAGATCAACCAGGACGGTGCTGGCCCCTTGACCGCCGACGTCGACGGCACCTCCGGTGGCACCAAGGAGTCCGCCATGCGGAAGGCCAAGGTCATGACTGACGTTCCGGGGCTCGGCGTCCAGGGCCTTTCTCTCGCCACCAACACCGACTTCCCCGTCAAGGTCCAGATGCCCGCCGGCATGACCTGTGACGCCACTGTCGGCATGGCCACCAACGTCTGTGTCGTTCGTGTCCGCAACGGCGCTGCTGCTGGACCCTTCGGTGGCTCCGCTGCTTTCACCCAGACCGCCGCCGGCCGCAAGCGCGCCATCGCCTACCGTCTCAAGAAGCGCATGGATTTCAACAACCGCGCATAAGCGACTGGCTCGTTACGAATTCAATGATCATCGGCATGTTAGGCCTGGGAGTTTGGAAAGCTCTCTCGTCGATGCCGAAGGGAGTCAGGGACTTCCGAGGCTCGACGGTCGCCAGACTCGGGTATTGAGGCTTTGGAAACGACTGTTTACTATTCCTACATGTTCTTTTTTAGTCGTAATTTTTCCATAGGCAATTAACGCCGGTCGGAGTTTGAAATCCTCTCTGAGTCTATTCCCGCTACTCGACTGTTGAACTGTGACAAATGCTGTGTTTACTCGAGAAGTCAAAGTGGAGTAATTCTGGGGTAGTCTGGAAACATGCCGATTGGGATCAAACACGGCCAACCACGTGTGGCTGATGGTTGGGGCAAGAAAAGCCCAGCCTCGTCTGAAGTCGAGTGCGAATAGAACGCTCAGGCTGCATCCCTCCCGCTTGCCCAAACAATAACATGACACCGGGCTTGTGTCAGACAGAACAAAGACAGAGCCAGCAAACATGGCAGATGAGTTGATAGAAAATATTTCAAATCTTGGTTCAATAACTTAATTTTCGACTAGCCATGAGCATTGACCCTTCCGCTTTCGAACTTCGCATGTGAAGGGACGTGATGCAACTCGATAGATAGTAGCAACATCCAACTATGTATCTATCCACATAACGGACGTCATTACCAATCCGAGGCAAACTCTTTGGCCACCAACTGAGACCGTCACAATATCGGGTCTCCTTATGTCAACCGGACGATGTTGCCATACTATAAAGCAAACCTTTCTACGTTCTCAGGGGAAAACGATATGAAATTGACGCAGTAACTTCCTGGCAACCTACGTTATTGCCTTTGTTCTAAATGCTACAATTGCTGTAACCAACGCCGATGGAGTGCGAACGGGATGAGCCAAGGGTCGATATGAGTTACCACCGGCGTCTGTGATACGTATTAGTTAAATGGACCTTGCAGTTTGATTGCATCATAACTTACCCATAAGCTGAGTCAACCTTGGGGACGCGCTTGCGGAACTTCAAGCCATGGCCGCCATGCTTGCTCTCTTTACCTCCTTTTGGTTTAGGAGCAATACCCAGAAGTTCGGCTTCAAGGGCCGATAGCTCCGAGTCTTCGGTGCCATGCGATGCGAACGACGCCGCAGACTGCCTAGATGCTGGACGTGATTCGGCATGGCTGCTACCAGAGCCGGGCCGGTGGGAGTGACGCGAGCGAGAACGAGACCGTGAGGCTTGTCTTCGTTGAGCATTGTCCTCTGGCGGCGGAGTTCCCAGAAGCGGCGGTGCCCGTCCTTCGTGAAAACTACTGGCCGAGCCCTGGCGTCGCGCATCTTGAGAGCTGTTACGATCGAGATCGTGACGGGTAGTAAACTTCTCGTCACCGCCATGTCGCCTGGAAGGACCAGCGTCATGGGAGTCATCCAGGGACTTAAGTAGTGCATCGGTTGGATCAGACTCGTCGCGGTCTAGCCTTTGAGACCGGTATCGGTCAATTGGTCGCGAGTCTTCCCTGGTCCTCCGGCTATGGGGTGATGTAGTATCGTAGCTAGAGTGCGAATCGCCTCTGTGTCGTTTCTGACGGTGGCTTGCCCTGTCATCGTCTTGGCTGCTTCTGGTACGTGAGGTCTTGTAAGGCGTCTCTTCCCACGTTCGCTTGCGGCTGTTGACCAAGCGGTAATCACGATTTTCCGGAGTCGGTGGTTTCGGCGGAAGAGAAGGAAACCCTGGGAGACGGGTGGACTTGAAGGAAACGGGCTTGCTGTCCCGCGGCTCGGGTTCTTGCCTAGCTGGTTTCGATTCAAATGGGCCTCTCCAGAACACTGGGTCAAGTTGCAAAGACGCAAAATGCTTGGTGTCTCGGATCGGCCGTGAAAACTCTTCGAGGTTCTTATCCGTTACAAACTCGGACAGCATGCACGTGGCATTCCACGCCGGAGGTAGCATGATGTTATCATGGTAATCTTCTGGTCCGGGGAGCGGCTTGGCGATTGGGTCTGGCTGATGAGCGTTGTCTGTCTCCTTGAATATCATCTCGGCCTCCCACATCCAATCGACTTCGTCATCATCGACGCCTTCTTCAGAGACGCTGTTGTCGTGTCGACATTCGGGGGTTGTTACACTTGGTACTGATGCAATTTTCAGCGGTTTCGGCTCGGGTACCACTTGGGCTGGCTCTTGCTTCTCTTTGTTACCGTCCGACTTCTGTCTTGGTTGTGGTGCATCACGTTTAGGGTTGCCGTGCTTGTTGTTCTTGCGGGAGCGGTCGGGTCGGTGGTTATGACCTTGACGATGGCGTCCGTGTCGATCTCGCGACAGTTGATTCCTGTGAGGAGGGATGGGTGGTAGACCTGGTGGTGAACCCCGAGGGGGAGTGAGCAAAGGGGGCGATGGACCGAATCCCGAAGCAGGTGGCCCGTACGGCTGGGCATACGAAGGGGGAGGCGGAGGAGGGCCTGGCTGAGGTCTATATGGCGGTGGAGCCGGAGGTAGCCCATATGTGGATGGAGAGTAGCCTCCGGATGTTATGGGATTGTATGGTGCAGAGTACTGCCCACTAGGCGGAAGAGGAGGAGGGGGAGGGGCCGGGACAGGCTGGTATCCAGATGGAGGGGTGTAAGAGGGAGGATAAGAAGCACTGGGAGGATAAGGTGGCGGTGGCTGGTAAGAAGGGGGTGGAGGCCCAGTCGGCCCCGTCGGGGGTCCACCATACTGGCCGGGAGATGGGTAGTGGTACGGCGCCGAGGGTCCAGGAGGGCCGGGAGGTGGTGGGTAGGCGCCCGGAGGCGGGGGCGGCGGGTACGGAAGATAGCCGGGGTAGCTACTCGGCGGCGGGGGCACGTACGCGGCCGACGAGGGTGGATAAGACGGATATGGGTGCGGGGGTCTGGGGACCGGAGGAGCATGGGGCTGGCCCGGTGGCGGGCCGTAACGAGTGACAATAGGACTGCCGGTGGGTGGAGCGGGATACTTAGTCACAACAGCGCCTGGTCGCCTTCCGCCGTGTTGATGGTCACTCCCTCGGCCACGCTCACGACTGCTTGAAGTGTTTCTCCGAGGCAAACCACTTTGGACGAGTCAGCGGCGCGCTCATGTAAAGAAAATGATAGACATTGTATGAAGCTAAAATTGGAAATCAAGCAACTTACGCAGGCTTCGCTCTCACCGGCTCCGGACATGCCACAGCCCAATGGCCAACACCGCCACAATTGATGCAGCTTGGTTCTTTTGTAGCAGGCCCTGAGCCGGGTGCGTGATCCGCCATACTCGTGGAAAGTTTGGTGAGATGGGACGAGGCACCTCAGTTCTGGAGTTTGAGCCACAACTTGGCCCGGTTGAAGTGTGGAGGGGTGAAAAGGCAGAGCGCGACGAAGGTCTGCAAGAACAGAGAGAAGGGGGGACGAGAATCCTCTCGCCAGATAGCGACCTGGAACTTGAAGCGGCGAGGGGCGGGATCTCGGATGATGGACCTTGTAATTGGCCTCTGAGGACGAAAGAAGAGGCAAAAAGTGTCTGATGGACGCATGAGAAATAGAGCCAAAGTAAAGGAAAGAGAACCGCCAACCTTGGTGCTCGCGATGCGCCGAGAATTACCGAGTGAGATACCCGGCGGTAAATTTCAGGGCAGAAGAGCTTGACAGTAGGGATCCATTCAAGGCGACAAGAATGAAGGCATTCAGAAATGTCTCCAGCAAATGAGCGGGTGCTGACTGAGTGAGGCGGCGCATCGCCCGTAGCCCTGGCCTTACTTAGGATAAGCGCTCCACAAGAAGCGAGTCGACAGTCGTCATTAAGACCATCGGGCGACCCAGTCTCGACAAGAAGATTGCCAGGATGTGCCAGAATGCGACAGTCGAATATTGTTCGGGTTGGGCGCATTCAAAGGGGGGGGGACAGCTAGGATGAGGTCGTAGAGAAAACGCGACGAAGTTGTCCAAAGTCAAAGGGTGCGCGCGCCAGGGTCAGGCGGAAAGTGGGGCCAGTGTACCTGCCCAGTGAGGCACAGCTCAGCTGGCTGGACCACAAGCATATGACTTTCATGCGGGAAGGCTGAGGAGGATGTCGGATAATCCGTCGGGCCGACCGTAGTTCCTTTTTTCTTTCTTTTTCTTTTCAGGTACGGCGGCGGGATCGACCCAGTTGAGTTTGGTGGCCGATTGAAAACAACAGGAGGTGACGAAGAAAGACAAGCAGTATCCGATGTAAGTACATAGGTGGGTGGGTAGGTAGGTTACCTACCGAGTGAAAGGGCTCCAAGCCACAACTGACACCTTTTTTCACAAGAGGCATGCATTCGACCTCTGTCTAGCCCAGAAATACCCTAAACGAAAGAGACCTTGACCCGAAACACGTCGTGATGTTTACCAAGGGGTTTGACTGGGGATCTGAAGCATGTTGAGCCGTCCGTGAGGACGCGACTGGTGCCTTGCTGTCGTTGAGCGAGCCCAACGAGGCATCACATCAAACGGTGATGGCTTAGTAGATATGCAGCAACACGAAAGACACACTGGGGTGTTTGGTTGCTCTCATCGCTCGCAGTACAGGGCAGGTAGAATGTTGGCGAAGCAACCTGCCGTTCAACGAGACAAAATGAGAATTTCATGGGATACAGAGCATGAAAAGACTCTTCATATTCTAGATTTAGAGATGGAAGCCTTGTGGCAGAATACGAGCATGTCATCTAGTAAAAGCTCAGATCATGGACGCAAAAGAACTGAAACGCTGGAAGGGCAAAAAAGGACCAAGGACGTGTTGAATGAGAAGGGTTTGAAATAAGCGCCGCCAATGTCATGATTCCAGGTGCCGTTGGAATGAATCCCTGAAGCAGGGCCAAGACGGCCCAGGAGGGGCAAGCAGGCCAGCAACACGGCGGAATGAATATTCTTCTGAAAACAGGCAAGGAAATGGATCCGTAAATCCACTACTGCGATAGACTAGAAAGTCGCAGAGTCTCTCGAAAAAAACAACAACGAAAACCAGACCAGGAACTGAAACCGAAAAACGGGTGAGCTCGGCGCGGGTTAATGACGGGGGAGGCAAGACGGAGCGCAGGTTCGGCAACAGAAGGGACAGATGCGAATGTGAGATGAAGGAAAGGAGAAGGACGCGTGCAGAACGGATTCAAAGGAGAGGTGGGAGGGGAACGAGTAGCTTTATATGAGCCCCAGCCCCAGCCCCAGCGTTCCAGGATCGCTCCCCTGCTGACATATGCCAGAAGACTGGACTGGGCTTCCCTGGCCAAGGCTTGAAGAATACCGTCTCAGGCTCTCAGTGCTTGTGCTAGCGGCTTGTAGCGGTCGTCGGCCCCTGACTGGACATCCCATGGTGGTTCCACGTCGGGGTCGGATGGGATTTATCGGCTGGCCCGAGCTCTCAGTTTAGGTAGGTACCTTTAGGTACAGTACCTAGCTAGGTATGTACCTACCTACCCAGGTACGACCTAACGTACCAAGGTAGGTAATCCAGTTTGACAGGGCGCAATCATCTGTTCTGATTTATTTATTTATTTTATTTTTTATTTTTTGCAGCATGACGTCCCGCGTAGCGCTGCCACAGCCGCCTTCATCCAACACAAAAAGATAATTTCGGTCCGGATAAAGGGACCACGCCATTGCGAAGGCATCCCCACGACGTGCACCTCTCCTTCGCTCCCATCCTACAACGGCTTCCCTCGAGCTTCCCCCCTCCCCGACGACTCGCGGTACTCGACCAAACACCGCCGTCCGTTTCCCCCGCGTGGATTCACCCCATGCCATCCTTACTTGCATCGTAGGACAGTCTACACCAACTTAATCTGACCTTCTCTTCTCTCTTTCTGCTTCCACCCTCGCTTTGCCGCCGTCGCGCTTCCTGCTCCCATGTAAAGGATCGTCGCTCTCGATCATGTTACTGCAACCTCGACGCTCCTCACCACACACCGCCCACATCTGGAGTAGAAGTGGTCACCGACGACCTGCTCCGTGAGCGAGCGACCGATCGATCCTTGCGCCGACGATACCGGCGGCCAACCTTCTCATACCCTCTCTTTGAACAGATCAAACCAGCCAGTGACATAGCGCTTGCTATTACATCGCACCCGCCGCGATGCCTGGACTTCCGGGTATGCTCCGTGTCCTTCTCCCGCCCATCTCTTTTAACAACGTCGTGTACAGCATCCGTCGACCTCGACGAGTGCATCTCGCGCTTGTACAAAAGGGAACTTCTCGCCGAGTCTGTCATCGAGGCCATCTGCGCCAAAACAAAAGAGCTCCTCATGCGTGAGAGCAACGTCGTTCACGTCCGCGCCCCCGTCACAGTCGTCGGCGACATCCACGGCCAGTTCTACGACCTCATCGAGATCTTCAAGATTGGTGGATGGTGTCCAGACACCAACTACTTGTTTCTTGGTAAGCAACGGCCTTCGGGGGTTGAGGGTCTGACAAGGCAGCTGTCCGAGAGAAAAACTAACCCACCCTTGCAGGAGACTATGTCGACCGCGGCATGTTCAGCGTCGAAACGATATCTCTGCTTGTGTGTTTGAAACTTCGATACCCCAACCGCGTGCATTTGATCCGAGGCAACCACGAGTCTCGCGGTGTTACCCAGTCCTACGGCTTCTACACGGAATGCTCAAGAAAATACGGAAACGCCAATGTGTGGCACTACTTCACCGACATGTTCGACTTCTTGACCCTCAGCGTTGTTATCAACGACAAGATCTTCTGTGTTCACGGAGGTAAGGGCCACCTCGCGCCTCCCTTTTCCTCTCTTTACCGTCGCGCCTGACTAATCCAAACCCGACAGGCCTCTCCCCCTCTATCCACTCCATTGACCAGATTGTCATCATCGACCGCTTCCGAGAGATCCCCCACGAAGGGCCCATGGCCGACCTGGTCTGGTCCGACCCAGACCCCGAGCGGGACGAGTTCTCTCTGAGCCCCCGTGGGGCAGGGTATACCTTTGGCGCGCAAGTGGTCAAGAAGTTCTTGGCCGTGAACAACATGGACCACATCCTCAGGGCGCACCAGCTGTGCCAGGAGGGCTTCCAGGTTCTGTACGACGACCGCCTTAGCACCGTGTGGAGCGCCCCCAACTACTGCTATCGGTGCGGCAATATGGCCAGTGTCTTGGAGGTCAGCGACACGGGCGAGAGGTTTTTCAACGTCTTTGCTGCAGCCCCAGAGAACGACCAGCACAAAGACATGCAGCTGGGCGGTGGGGACAAGCAGGCGGACGGAAATTCACTACCCGATTACTTTTTGTAGCATTTGGTCTGGTTCAAAGGAGGACAGACTATTGAAAACTGGCGGATTGGATGGTACATATTGATGAAAGCGTCACACATCACCCCACAACAACGTCGCACTGGCTTGGTGACAACCAAGAAGAAGCCGATCCAAGACCAGGCAAAAGAGTTTCAATGACAACAACCAACAACGTGGCGTAGCTACACTAGTAGAAACGGCAGCTACTATGCAGCCTTGTCAACACGACGAGACAGACACATGGAGCAATTTTGATGACGACCCAATGGATCTGTCTGTATTTCAGCTCGGGTTCATATGTGAGATCCCGGAATAACATGTATCTGCGAGCCGCCTACCAACCAAGTTTTGCGTATCGTGGCTTCATGTCCCATACCCAATGTATGATGAGCCTTAGAGTAAGGTGTTCGTGTTTTTAAGTGTGGCGCTGTGTATGACAAGAAAGGCCTCGACCCAGGTCTGCCAGCCATGAACCCTTGTGATTCACCCTGCGTGTGGGCTCGTTGTGCTTTTTTTTCTTTCTTTTGTTTCTTCTTTTTTCTTTCTGGGTTTATTTTTGCATTATAAGTGAAGCATACGTCCCGCCTGCCCTTTCCAACCTGGAATACCATCCACCGGCGACGCTTCTGCGCCATAGGCCTAATGGGACCGACCGCAGAACGCCTCGATAAATCAAGAGGTTAGAAGTCGGGGACCTTTTCAGCTGCTGAGACATGTCCAGGAGTGGCAAGACTGCCTTCTGAATTCTCTTGAGGGTGGTGAAAGAAGGAGCAGGCTGAACGTTGAGGGGTAACCGTGATCTACCAGTCCTTGGCGATGTCGAAGGACCACTCAAAAGTGAGGTGGGTCTTCTTGTCGTCGTCGACGAAGCTGGAGATGGCGTTGTAGTGGCCGCGGGCCAACATGCCGGAGGGTGCATCCTCCTCTTGGACTGAATGGCAGTCAGTATCAGCAATTGTAATACAGGCAAAAGGGAAGATTCAACTTACAGCGCTTGGTGTAGATTGGCTGCTTGTCCGTGTTGGGAGCGTAGCTGCCCTGTAGACTTGCGTCAGTAACGGGCTCACAGCAAGGGATACGTGAGGACAGTAGACTTACCAGCATCTCAGAGTCCTTGCTAACCTTGATGCCCTTGCGCTTGACGACCTGAACATACTGCAGACCGCTGAGGATCTCGTGCTGAACCTTGAAGTTGGCAACCATGGTGAACTTGGCGCCCTCCTTGATCTTGAAGGGCTTGTCCTTGAGGGTGGCCTCAGAGCCGGGGCTGGACAGGTCGATAGTTACAGGGTCGCGGCCAGGGGATTCCATAGTAAGGGACTGGATAATGCAGACACGGGGGTCTGAGGCGTCAGAGAGGTCCTTGCCGCCTCCGAGGCCAAGAGACTCCTTGTAACGCTGGAGAGACTCGTCGTTCTCGTCTGTGGCCTTGTTAGTAGGCGGTTCTTGTGTTCTCTTCTCTTGATTTTGCTGCTGCTGCTGCTGCTGCTGCTGCTCGCCCTCCTCCTGTAACTCGTATGTGGCAAAGCCATGAGCCGCTCTGACAGTATTGAAGGATGTGTAGAAATCTCGGATGAGAGTTGGGTCTTGGTCGGGATTGTTCTCCAGCAAACTGGGGGAGTTTGGAGGATTGGGGGGGACGGGTCGTGAGGTGGCTCTGGCTCGATGAAGACGCCTCTCTTCGGCCACCTCAGGCGTAGGTGACTGCGGACGAGAGCCTGAGGGAGTGGACTGGGGGGCCGGGGGGAGCTCAATGGAGTTGCGATTGAGCAGGGCTTTGTTGCGGTTACGCCGCTGCATCAACAGACGCATGCCATCATACAGCATATCCATGAATAATGTGGTATATCATGAATTTCGGTGTGCGATATTGACGTGGTGATGAGCATAATAACAACAAAGATGAAGATGCAGGAGGGGGGTATCAATGAGAGTCAATGATGAAAGACGGCGGGTGAGAGGGCGATTGCGGAATAGGAGCTGGGAATGGCAGGCAGGTACAAGCAGGTGGTGTGTGCGAAGTCTTTCGCTCTTTCCTCATGCCGCCTCCATGAAGTTTGCTTTGAATACGATGCCATATCGAGCACCACTGATAAGCAGTGACCGAGGTGAAGACCAATTTGCACACCGAACCCCAAATCAAGGTGAAGGTGTGAGGGGCACCCGCAGGACCCAGCCCAATCCAGTCCAACCACCTCCCAGAGAAGGAGCGGAGCAGAGCACCAGCAGCATTCAGAATGATGGGGAAAGCAGGCAAAAAGACATGGTTAAACAGACAAGAGAATCAAGCAAACGTACCCATCTTCTGGTACTCGGCCAGACTCTGCTTGGGCTGGGACAGCTTGTAGCCCTGAGTCTCCTCGGGCATGGTGTCCTCTTGCTCGTGGGAAGCCATGATGACGGTGGTGGTGATGGGGGCTACTGGCGGGAGCTTGAGCTGGGAGCTGTTTGTCGATGAGTGGATAAAGAGGCCTGCGAGATGGCTTTGGGCGTATGTATTGAGTGGCGGGTGAGGCTGTGAGTAAGCAGAGGTAAGGTATGTGACGATGTTTGCTCTGGAGGAGAGAAGTTTGAAGATTCAGACACAGTAGGTTGTTAAAGAGTGATAAGTCCAAGGTGTCGGGCAACTACTGGGCAAGGTACAAACAGCAGCAGCACTGTCCATCCACTCATTTGCCGCACTTGCGAGGTCACCGCTTTCTGTTGCCCCTCATTCTCTCCCTCTCTTTCCCTCCCACGCCCAGGCCAGGCACGTCAGGGCCAGGCGACGGGGTGTGGCAGGTGGACGTGGGGCCCAGAGAGGTGCCGTGTGGGCCTGGGACCGCCGACACTGGACGAATCGAGGCGTATCATTGGCCGTAAGGATTAATGGGGGGCATGCTTGCATTGATTGGCCGTCATCTGGAACAGGATGGAACTTCATACACGAAACCAGGAACAATCGACAAAGCCCACGCTTGCATTTACTGCCAGAGGTTGATTCTTCTGCTGTAGCTACTAAATCTCACTTTACTGGCTCGAGCCGGCTTAGTAGAGGAGCACGAGGGGTACGAGGGGTTTGGGGAAACATACAGGTAGGTATATGCAAAGCATGCCATAGGTACCCCTCTACGGCTACGTCCATGGGCCCTACCCATCGTAGGTGACACGGGAGGGGGTGGAATGCAGGAGGGGAGGGAATGGGAGGGGAGGAAAGGAGCCTTCCATTGGCATTGGCCACGGTATCAGACTACCTATTGGTCGGATGAGCGGTCTGAAATGCCTGGCTGCTGATGAGGGGCACGCATTGGACCCAAACGACTCTGGTGTTGTGCTTACTAAGCTTACCTTAGGCTCGATAGGTAGGTATTCTACCTACCTGCCTAGGTACCTTCACCAATTACGAATGTGGCCGTTGAGGCTCTTGCTGTGTACAGTAGCAGCGACATGTGCCATGTGCATCTCGTCCGAGCCGTTCGTCGTCCGGTGGATGATGCGGGGAAGGAACAAGCGGCAGCGAAGAAGCAATTTGAGGTCCTCTTTGGACACCAGCAGCGCAAGGCATCGTCCGCCTCTAGTCTCTAGCCGCTGCCGCCGCCGACAAGCTCACGCGGCGGGGGTAGAGTTCGAGTTCCGTAACGTAGGTATTCTGTAATTAGCTACCCACGGCTTCCAGTCAGTCACCTAAGCCAGCAAGCTCAGAGCACTGACGATCAAGCCGGCCTCGTTGCAGCTTTCGTGCCATCAGCCGAAGCTACACGTGTCCAGTGTCCAGTGCGCAAGTACCCGGGTTGCGGATCAAGAAGAGCCTTGGCAGGTTAAGAAAGTTGGCAGAATCATCGGGCGAAATGCAAATGTGTCAACATTGAGGTAGTTGGTTTCAATTGTGTCGTTGCCCTGTCAGTGGTGCCCAACTCTGTCTGGACCCCTGGGTCTACACTAGCTCACCGATGGCGATATCTTCCTCCAAGTCAAAGTGATGGCGGGCCCTTCCTGCCTACAGCCAGCTCGCCGCGCTCCAGGTTGAGGACGGTGCCCATAGTGCTCTGAGCTTTGCGCGTTCGCGACGAGAATTGTTGGGGAGCAGGGGGGGTAGCTCTGGGTTCTGGGTTCTGGGTTCTGGGTTCCGAGGGACTCTGGCACAGTAGAGGAGAACGAGTGCTGACGATGAGCCCTTATTGAAACGGCTGAATCGCCTGGCTCTCAGAGTCACTCTAAGGACGTTGACCGGGGTCACGCAATGGGAATAGGCGAAAATACCTCGCAGTAGGTACCTAGCACCTACATTGTACGTAGGTAGGGACCGTCACATCTGGTTCTAATTCTCAGGGGCCTTCTTCTCCCTTTCTCTCTCTCCGTTTTTCCGGGGAAGGTGCCGGGGACTGGTGTCGTCGGAAGCGGCAAATGACAATCGAGCTAGGGAGATACCTGTGGAAACAATACAAGTCATGGGCCAATAGAGAAGTAGCTCCTTATGCCGCAGGATACCCCCCTCGTGCTTCCTCATCGGGCCACACGCTTCAGCACCCATCGCTTCCCGAACCCGCAGCTGCCCCCCTTCTTCTGAGGTAGGTCCCTACCTAGGAGGTACCTGTAATCAAATCCAATGAGCTGAGGACCGCGTGGACCCTCCCGTTGGCCCCCCAAAGGTCTCTCTCTTTCTCTCTCTCTCTCTTCTTGGCCCCTCGTTGGTGAGGTTCTCAGGTTTCCCCCGTCCCGTCCTCCGCTATTCCAATTTGCTCTCGCGCGCGACCATCAGTGTCTTCCACTCGGCTTCTGCTTCCTTGTCCGTACCGTCCGCCTGCCTCTGTTCCTTCCTCCTACTCGCAGGTCGCCCTCTCCTCCAACTCTCTCACATACACACACTCTCTTTCCCCCTCGGTTTTCCACTCATCCATCCTTTAAAAACAGATTTTCCCGTTTGTGCCCTCCCCCGTATCGGGACGCCGTCCCCGTTGCATACAATCAATCATAATTTTTTCTCTTGACCTTACCTATCATCTATTACCCCTGCACTTTTTTTTTACGCGACGGGATACCCGTCACGTCACGTCACGTCACGCTTGCGCAGAACCTCTCCAACTCAGCTCTGACGAGTCCAGTTCCAGTAAGTGACATGTCGACACCCCGAGCGCTCTCTCACTTGTCTTGCGCACGCGCGCGTCTGATGCGCTCATACCTGTGCTCAGACTGCTGACGCGCCGATTAGTCCATCCACCTACGACCGAGACTCCACCTGCAAGCGACGCGATATCGAGGATTTCCCCTCCCGGTTCGCTCCAGTGCGCGCGCATCGCGAACACCTCACGTACCCAATTTTAATCACCATTTTTGCGCCTTCAACCCCGTATCCAAAGATGCCTTCCGCAACAGCTCCTGAGCGGCACCTACCCGCCAAGCATAACCCTTTGATGCTCAAAGATGTGCCATCCCGTATAGACCTGAACCAACTCGTGCTCGAGGGCTCCTGATTTGCTGACCCGTCTACAGACAACGACCTCGTCGCCCGCCGCCGCCTCGGCCAAACACAGCTGACCGCGAAGATGGTGAACCATGCCGACGGTGAAGGTGCGACTCTTGGTGTCTTCGACTACGCGCATCTCCGCGCGCCCCTGCCCAAAGGAATCGTTTCCGGAATATTCAAGTCCAGCCCCAACAGCTACTTCCTCATGCGCCGGAGCCACGACGGCTTCGTGTCCGCCACCGGCATGTTCAAGGCCACGTTTCCCTATGCCGAGGCCTCTGAAGAAGAGGCCGAACGCAAGTACATCAAGTCGCTTGCCACCACCAGCCCCGAGGAGACGGCCGGCAACGTTTGGATCCCCCCCGAACACGCCTTGGTTCTTGCCGAGGAGTACAGCATCGCGCCGTGGATCCGCGCCCTGCTGGATCCCGCCAACATCGCCGTCTCCAACAGTCCCGACAGCCCTCCCAAGAGGATTACCGCGCCGCCGAAATTCGACCTATTTAAGGCTCACCCTCAACTCGCTCCTCCTACCCCAACATCGCTGCCCCGCAGCACCCGATCTCGCCGCTCGGTCAGTCCGACCAAGACAACCGCCCCCAGACCCGTCAGGTCGCCGAGGAAGCGCAAGACCAAGGCTGACTCGGTCGAGCCCCGAGAATCCACGCCTACCCTCACTACCACAACCAAGCTCGAGGTGAACGGCGTCATCGACGAGGACAGAGACGCTGAGGCGCGAGTGGAAACCGCCATCAAGACCATTGAGACGGAGCCCGCGGCCACCCTAGAGCCCAAGAAGCGGGACACCAAAGCCAAGATTTTTGTTGACCAGGACTTGAAGACTGACGAGGATGGAAACGAGACGAAGCGCACTGCTGTATCACTCGAACTCCCGCTGCTGAGCTCCGCCCCGCCAACTGCTGAAGAGACTGCGCGCATGATTGCGGAGGCCAAGCAGATGGTCGAGGCTGCCGGGATCAAGTCAGAGGAGGGCGTAGACAGTCCTAAAGTCAAGAAGGGCAAGCGTGGGGCGGAAGAGATCTCCAAGGGAGACGACGAAGACAAGGAACAGGACGGCGAAGCAGATGCTGCAGAGGAGCCACGTGCGAAGAAGGCGAAGACCGCCGAGGTACAGGTCAAGAAGCTGCGCGTGCGGAATCGGGCCCTGTTCGGCCTGAGTGCCGTGTCACTAGCTGTTGGGTAAGTGCTCCTTTCTTCCCAGACCAGGGAGAGGCAGTCGACTGATTTATGTTTGCGTAGCGCGTTTTCATACTTTGTGGGGGCCTTCTAAATAAATTCGACGACTCGTTTCGAATTGGTTGGTGTTAGAGCAACAGATGGGTGGTCTGGCCACGGAGCACGGGGCGGCGCGTCGCCGATTGCAATCGCCCAGAGGATTTTTATTGCTAGGGTGGTGGAAATGGCGGCAGACCTTTTTTATATCATTTTTCTGCCTTTCGCTCATACCCATAGAGCTCGAGAGAACTCGGGCTGGCTTTCTTTTCCCTCTTTTGCTTGCGGAATTTTTGGGTGGAATCAAAGTCAGTGTACATTGGAATTGTCTGCTTACGGCGACAGGGGGGATGGGTTTGCGGAAGAGCCAAACCTCGCGGTTCAGGATCTAGGGCAAGTGTAATTGATGTGTTTGTTTAGGTGCCTTTGCTTGCTGGCGGCGAATATGGGGGTTACGGCGATCTACGTTTGCAATCGACGTTGGCTCTGCTTGTATTAGTTTCGTCATCAGCATTTTCCAACTATATCGACACCAGGATACTACTTGGCTCCGTGCTTTGCGTCTGGTATCCAGTCTTGTTGCGGTTTGCTAATCAAGCAACCATCCAACGACTTTTTACACCTACTTTCCAGTCCAGTAGCTATAGCGGAGTGCTAATGAAGCTTTGAGGGAGAGGGTGCTTGGCCGAACTTGCTTCACACAGCCTTCCAAAAGGCTTCCGAACTCGAGAACCTGGATGTTAACCTCTCCACGACCTGCAGCCGTCGACTGAGCAAACATTTGCAGTTCGGACGATGCATTTGACATACGCTACATCATGAACAAACAAGCCTTGACGCCTCTCTCAACGGCGTCTTTTGCCACCGCATATGCATCCTTAACACGTCTCTTCTTCACCAGGGGGCCCTCTTTTATGGTCTAATCCGGGGTCGCTCCCGCGCGCCACGTGCAAGGGGGAGGGGGGTGGGCAGAGGCTCGGCTTAAGGCTGCTTGCCATGCATCATCGAGGATCGAGCGGGATGGCTAAAACCGGCAATGGCCGGCTCCCCGGATAACCGTCCACCTCCTCCTTGTCTGCATCTCCCTCCCCGCAATCTGGGAAACCTGGGGGCAGGTGTCTAAGCTCAGCTGGAATGAAGCTCGTCTCCTCAGGTTTTGACTGCCTAACCCTAGAAGGACAACACCTTGTTGTCTCGATCGCTTCTCACTACGTTGGACTGATTCACAATTCCTTCATCTTGTGAATTGGTTCATTGGAAGCTGCACGATGCGGGCCCCTACGACGTTGCGGACTATCAGGCTCGTCCAGCGGCGCGGCTTCGCGACGACGCCGCGGCGGCTGGAGAGCTATGGCTTCATCGGACTCGGACAGATGGTAACCGCCCTCACACAGGATTCTCGTCCCTAGAACCGATTCACGTTTGAATGCTAACACCCACAGGGTTACCAAATGGCTAAGAACCTTCGGTCGAAGCTAAGTCCCGAGGATGAGATCCGCATCTTCGACATCAACAAGGCCGCCGTCTCGAACCTGGCCGAGGAGATGGAACAGTCGCAGGCCGGCGGCGCAAAAATAGCCGTCGTCGGCACCGCGAGAGACGCCTCGACGGACGCTGTACGTTGTTTTTCCTTCTCTTTTTTTTTCCCTTAGTTCCTTAGTCTCATTGTTTCTGAGATGTAACGTCATCGTTCGCCTGTGTTGCTCTTATGATGTCCAAACTAAAACTGTTTTGCCAACTATGACCACGGCCATCAAAAAGGCCCTGATATTACTACATTTGTAGTTGCTGATTCGAGCATATTCTTGTCTCTTGCATCTGTTTTTGTTCCCACGTACTTTGTATGGACATCGCATGTTAACCGCCATCCTCCCAACACCAGGACACCGTGATCACCGTTCTCCCCGAGCCATCTCACGTGAAATCCGTCTACGCCTCCATCCTCGCCGACCTCCCGCCTAGGAAGCGCATCTTCATAGACTGCTCCACCATCGACCCCTCCTCCTCGCGCCAGGTCGCTGCTGCTGTGGTCGCCGCCCAGCCCGAGGGCCAAGGCATCTTCGTCGACGCGCCTATGTCGGGCGGCGTCGTCGGCGCTACGGCGGGCACCCTGACGTTCATGCTCGGCTGCGACGCCGCGCACCTCGCGGTCGTCGAGCCCACGCTTCTGCGCATGGGCCGCCGTGTGCTGCACTGCGGACCGCAGGGGACAGGCCTCTCGGCGAAGCTGGCCAACAACTACCTGCTCGCCATCAACAACATTGCGACGGCCGAGGCGATGAACCTGGGCATTCGGTGGGGGCTGGATCCCAAGGTCCTCGCCGGGGTGATCAACGTCAGCACGGGCAAGTGCTGGCCCAGCGAGGTTAACAACCCCGTCGGGGGCGTCGTCGAGGGGAGCCCCGCGGGGCGGGACTACAAGGGCGGCTTCGGGATCGGGCTGATGCGCAAGGACCTCGGCCTGGCCGTCGTCGCGGCCGAAGAGGCGGGCGCGAAGTTGGAGCTGGCGGGAAAGGCGACCGAGGTGTATGCCGCGGCCGAAGGGCGGGAGGACTGCAAGGGGCGAGACTTCTCCGTGGTGTACCGGTACTTGGGTGGCAAAGAGTGAGTATCGACCGATTCTGGCTCGGCTACGCGGATCGAAAAGAAATATTAGAATGTTTCTTAGAGAGAGAGAGAGAGAGACAGAGAGAGAGAGAGAGAGAGAGAGAGAGAGAGAGAGAGAGAACATCTAGAAGAAAAAATGAATCGGCACTCATCGAAGAACGTCGCACCATCCCGCCGTCGACGGCCCCGGAGCGGCCCTCTTCTCCCTGCGCGTGCCTGCCGACGCCCTGTTCTCGGCCCTCCACCACTTCTCCCTGGCCTTGACCTCTTCCTCGCCGAGGTGCTCCACGCAGAGCTCGCAGCGGACCATCTTCGGCTTCGGCCGACGGTGCTGGGGCTCGATGGGGGTGTACCCCGGCGCGGTCTTGAGGACCTCGAACTCGAGCCCGGAGGGGTCGAGCGCCGGGTCTGAACGAGCGGGCTCCGGGACCGGGTCGTAGAGGAGGCCGCAATGCGGGAACGCGGCGGCGAGGGCGGCCGGGCACCGCTCGAGGGTGCGGCGCCGCGGCTTGCCGAGGCGGGCGTTGCAAATGCCGCGCATGTAGTGCACGACGTCTGTGATGCACATCGTGAGACTTGTTCAGTTGTTCGGTGGTACGACCTACCGGAGGTGGTTTTCAATTGCGAAAACTGATGAGAGGCAGTCGAAGCGGCTGATAACACCGGGGGGGAGGGGATTGGCTGCTTTCAAAGATTCATTCACTCGCTCACTCGCTCACTCACTCAGGGACCTGAGTCAATATGTAAGATTTTGTCACTAGGTTGGAAAGTCCTTTGTCTTTTACTCTTCACTGCTGAGAAATGAACAATAGTATTGTTCTGAGAAAACCGTTTAGGGTAGCAACATACAAGTGTGTTTTAGACAGGAGGAACATGTTCATATGGCATGTTTGAAGAGAGGAAAAGCGCACAGGCGCAAGGGCAACATCTTTGATGGAGGCTTTCAGCCTTTTGGTTGTGAAAGGAAACAGATATCTGACCGAGCAGTGACTTACCTTTGAAGGCCGCACGCGTCTCTATCTTAAGGGAAAACGCTGCCGAGTTCCGCCGTGGATTGACAGCAGCAAGAGACGAGTTCTAAAATCCCAAACGCCATGCGTGACCCGGAGGCCCCCATTACCCTCTATGCATGTATTCCAAGTCCCTTTCTACGAGCATCAACGTCAATCTCTCGCTTATGCAGACTCGCGTCCCGGATCGACCTTGGCGTTCTCCGGCGTCGAGGTCGTTGTCGATTCAGTCTTCTCCCCAGCCTGCGCCTTGCTGGGCTTGGTCATCTGCTGGAAATAGATGCCGGGGTGGAAGACGGTCAGCAGCGTGACGCAAGTTAGCACGAGGCCGCCGTCAAGGATCATAAACGAGACCTCGTCCTGCATGATGTGGTTACCCCATCCGCCCGCCATCTCGGCGACACTGTTGGCCGTTGTCAGCATGGTTCATCTTTTTGTTCTGCCTGGAGGGGATATTCAACTCACCGGTAAACGCAACGGACCATGACGCACGCGTACGCGACCGCAACGCCGCCGAGGAACAACCTAAACTTCCTTGCGCTGTACAGCGCAATGTCGCCGGTGCTGTGGTCGCCACTGTGCGCCCACTTCCTCACCCTCAGCCAGTAGTCCGCGCCGGCGGCGCCGAACAGCATCAAGACGACAACCTGCAGCGCGATGCCCGCGATGATGGCCTGGTTTCCGCCGTCGAGCAGCTTCTTGTTCGTTTGCCCCGCCGCCGCCGCGAGACCGCCGCCGATTGCCTGGATGATGAGGCAGGTGAGGTCGGCGGGAAGGAAGATGAGGGGGTACAGGCGCGGGCGGATGCGCGAGAGGCTCGGATTGAGGTTCGCTGAAACGTGCTTAAGGGTCAGGTAGATGCCGGCGCAGATGAAGGTCGGGCCGAGGATGATGGTACAGATTTGCATCTGGAAGGCATCCTTGTTCCAGGGGTTCTCATGGAGGAGGACCCGGCCAACGTAACCTGGGTTCGTGTTAGTCTTCGGATCCCGACAGCAGCAACAGAGAAAAAGAAGGAAAAAGAGTAGTGGTATGGGGCGGGGGTTCATCCGATCACAGATGGGCTGAACCCCAGCCGTTCGTCGAGGGCGAAGGGTATCACCTTACATACCAACTGTCTCTAGAACTGAGCCGCCCGTCACAAAGAGCATGAACGTCCAGGTGCGCTTCCACGTCCCGATGGTGGCCGAGGTGAGCACGACGAGGCCGAAGGCGACGGCGAAGAAGATGTTGGCGCCCAAGTTGGGGTAGTACGACAGCACGGTCATCTCGACGGGGCAGAGCTGCGAGACCTCGGTGCATTCGCGGAACGGCCGCCGCATCGTGGTGTCGTTGGCCGACATGGTGGCTGATTTTGGAGGGGTTTTGTATCGAGTGGCGGTCGTGTGAGGCTCTTCAACGTCGAGGTTTGCACGGGATGGAGTGGCGCGTAGCAATACCTCCAGAACGGTCGCAGGGCTACCCAGTCGTAGTCCTGATGTGTTTTGCTGTTAGTCCTTCTGATTGCTCGAGGACGAAACGGGCGCCAACGGGCCCAAGAAGTAGAACAGCGATAGAATGGAGGGCGCGAATCAAAGACGCAAAGACGAGATAGAGGCAAAGAAACGGGAGGTCAAAGTCCCAAGAAACGAACGTCCGTCATCATCTACATATGTACACAAACAGGCGCAGGCGCATTGCATCCACACGACGGCACCCAGCGTTGCCTCCTAGCCCCGACTAGGGGGAGGAGGAAAGCAACAGCGGTGGAGTTGGGACGGGCCCTCTTCCATTATTACCAATCTTGTGCGACTGGTCACTGGCAAAGCGAAGGAACCGAATGACACGAAGGGGATGGACGTTTGAAGGTGGTGGTGCGCAGCAACGCTAAGTGCAGAGCCAAGGCCTCTCTAGATCCCCTTCTTCGACTCCCGAGGACCCGCAGACATTCTCGAATTGGAAAGCAGTGCGGTTGCCGCTTAGGGGCTTGTGGAACTCGATGGTCATTGGTGGTCAGGCTGAGTGAGACGTCCGATACTTGAGCCTAGAGAGTGTCGCCGTCATGATGTGTGTTTTGACAAGCAAAAGCTGGACGATCTCTTAGCTGAGCAAAATCAACCACCGATATTGTCACCTGGGATCTGACCATCGGCATGATCTGTTACTTGACTGCGCAGAACGAAAAGAATCAACAGCGCAACAACCACCGATTAAGTCAAGAGTCGGTCAATACGTTCAAAGTTGGGGACGGCAACGATTCCCAGGGTTGAACACGCGAATCTTAGCATCCTTCTAGCGCCTTGGCGGGGGGATCCAACCCGAATGACACGAGCTAAGCGATGCTGCTTGGCCGCCACCCGAGCTCCTAGCCGAGGAACCGACAAGGATCTTGAGGGCCGTCTGGCAGTGAAACCGCCATTAGAAGTACGAGGGAGGCATGCAGCACCCTCGGGTCCCTCGGATCGCTTAGCCAAAGTGCATGCATGCCTGCTCTTCTGCTCCCCTCGTGGCGGCGCCATGGCCGGAGTGTCAGTCCGGCGTGTCGTAAATAGGATTTGGTTGAGTTGGGTCTGGTCTCTGCGCTCAGACTGTCGGAGCAAACAGGGAACCCCGCCGAACGGCGAGAAAAGCTGCTTCTTGAACCCTTTCCGCCAATCAATCATGACGCCGAAATCTTCAAAGTTTCTCCTCGGTGATGCCGTCTTTCGCGCCGTGCTCGTCGCGCTTATTTGGACTTCCGAGCGAGCCAACGTGAGGTATAGCGAATCGGCTGGCGGGCCATGTTTGTAACTCGCATAGACGACGCCGAATAGTCGCTTCGTGATGCCCATGGTATCAATTCCTGATAAATTTGCAAATATGGGCATGCTTGGTTTTATTCGTATTCTCATCTCAGCCTGAGAGCAGCATCTCGCCCTGCGTGGCATTACCACTTGGCGCTTTGGTTGCTTTAGTCGCTATGGTCGTCGCTGCTCTCTTCCTCATCCTCTTCTTCTTCTTCTTCTTCTTCCTCCTCCTCCTCCTCCTCCTCCTCGTCATCTTCATCCTCTTCATCCGTCTCTTCTTCGGACTCCTCTTCATCTTCTCCATCCATTTTGAATGCTTCTTGTTGCTCCTCTATTTCTTCCTCTGCAAGCCAATCATCGAGCGTCTTGACGCCGACGCCGGCACCAACAGCGGCGCCTAGACCGTTGGTCTTCGTCGGTGCAGCCTTGACCGCATTGTCGAGCATTTGACTGGCCGGCACGCTCTTCTCCCCGCCGTAAGCCGAAGGTGTCTCTGTTTCTCGCAGACGTCGGTCCGGCTCCGAGCCCTCCGCTACCCAGTCAGGAAGACCCTCATAGCCACGCAGACCGTGGATGCCACCTCCGCCCGCCAACACAAGCGTCGAAGAACCGAGCATGAAACCCTTGCGAATCTCTGAAGGGCTAGGAGCCTGCGGCGCAGGCTTCGGTGCCAACAACATCAACGTGGCCAGCTGGGGCACAGAAAGGAGAGCTCGGTACATGCGGGCCCGGTCGCGAAGGTCATATGACGTGTCGTAGCGGACCAGCAGCAAGGCGTAGTCCCAAAGCTTCGCGACAGGGTGGTCATCTTGGTTTGGCACCGTTGCTTCGTCTTCGCCCTTGTCTTCGCTCTGGCGGTTGACGTGGTGCAGGTACACCTTGGCAGCAAGAAGGAGGATCTGCCCCTTTGCCACCTCTGCTTCGTTCGCAAAGTCCTTCAGGAGGATTCGCAACACATCTGCTGCGATATTGTCTTCGCCCTCGAGACCCGAGAACTCGCCCACCAGCCAGATGATGGTTGCCCTTGCGTGAGGATCCGTTGCAGAGTCCAGGTTTTTGGCGAGACGTACGACCGTCCCGACGTGCCCTTGGGGGTCTTGCTGGATCAAGTGTCGGATGACTGTCAGTGACTCAGCCGCCAACGTTCCGTCAAGACTTGTGATTTGCCCCAGCAGCAGCCGGAGACACCTCGGTGCTGTTGACGAGTCCGTCTGGGCGCATCGTCCAATGGCACGCACCGCTTCCCTTACGAGCGCCTTGTTCGTCGAACCGGAAAAGTGTTCCAACTCGTTCAGAATCAGGCTCTTGATGTGAGGGGGCGCGTGAGGAAAGATGAGCGTCAGGATCTCCAACTTCAACTCCCACACTTGTGCAGGGTCCGTAGCTCTGACAAGGAAGTGGCTGGCGTACTTGACAAAGTCTGTGGGTCTCGTCAAGCAAACCGAGACGATGTTGTAGAGTGCAACTTGCTGGATGTCTTGCGGCCCCCTGAGTAGTGCCACGAGAGGGCCTATGGCAATCTTGACGTATTCCGGCGTTCCGATTTCGACGTAGCATCTCGTGACCGCAATCACCACGGCCGAGTTACGACTCTGCAGCAGAGGCTTGATGCCGTTGAGCAGCAGAGCCAAGTCCGGGTCCACCGCGATAACCTGGTGCTCCTCGACCCCTTGCTGCGCATTTTCTGCGTAAAAGTCACCGAGGTCGGCCGTCTTTTCCTGGCCCTTGACGCTGCGCGTCCGTCTTGGGAAACACTTCCTCGCGTAGTATGTCATCATTCGCAGCGTCGCCAGCTGACTCCACTCGTCCATATCCACGACCTTCTTGACCAGTGCCCGGTAATGCGGATGTATCATGTCGATGCGGTCGGGGCACACTTCCAGAAAAGCCGAAACAGCCGCACCGGCGACGAAGTATTGCTTGTCTCCAATGAGGGCGGTCAGGTATTCGAGGAGCTGTGGCAGCTGCGTGGGGTCGAGGCGGTAGCATTTGGGGATCGAGAGAGCGGCAGCTCGGCGCACATAGGGACTCATATCTGCCACACCCTTCTTGATTGCGAGGGATACGATCTGGCTAATAACGGGGACTCGGATACCTGACATGGTCTTAAGTGCAAGAGCGCGGACTTGAGGGTTCGTGTCGGAGAGGGATTTCTGGATGGTATTGATGGAAAGGAGGGCGAGGTCGGGTTCCTGCTCGGCATGGTGGATGAGGTAGATGTAGACAAGCTTCTTGATCTCTATATTGGGGGATGCAACATTCTTGACGACAGATGAGAAGAAGGGCAACGTCTTCTGGGCGCGGTACATCATCTGGATGGAGGTGGGATTAGCCAAGGGCTGGAGCTGGAGCTGGAGCCGGTTGGAAGGATCCGTACCGAGAGGACGCGGCGCAGGCCGTCCAGCACCTCGCGGTCATTTCGACTGTCTAACAGCTTCTTAATCTGCGTACGGTCGAGAGGACGGCCGGTGCTGCGGGAGCTGCGCGTGGCTGAGGCGGCATCGAGTGTGAGCTCTCGAGCTGGACGGGATCGACGTTAGCGAGAGCCACCACAGCAACATGGGGATTGGGTGGGCGGTTAATGACGCACCGCTCTCGAGCAGACTGGATATCCGCGCGATGGACTCCATGGCGAGCGACAGCAGGTCGGAGCTAGCTGAAGCAGTCGTGGCTGAAGGGAGGAAAAGAATTTGGTGAACCAGCCTCGGGATCGTAGAGATGTGAAGGTTGCAAGGAGAGATGACGTCTAGTGCTTGGAAGGCTGAACCAGGCCGCGCCGACGAGGGGCAGCGGGCCGGCTGGCGTGCTTAGCTGTCACTTGGGCTACCGGCCGGTCGACAAAACTCAACTTCGGTGGGCAAAAGCGCTAAGCTAAGCGAAAACTGCCCCCGCCAAAGCCACGTTCTAGCGTGTACGGCTACCTAGGTAGGTGTCCGACCCCACCCATGATCCTTGCCCAGCCAATCTATCTACACACTCAAAAGACCTCATTGCCAGCTTGCAAAGTCCCGTTCAATTTCAACATCGAGTACTCAATAGCCTGGGCGATGATTTGTTCATCGTGTATTGCCATCCAAGAATTGAGAGGAGGGGGAAAGAAAGGGGGATTGCAATGTTCTGCTCGTGAATGCTGCCGTCTTCCAGACTCTGTCTATCATCACAGTTTTGGAATGGAGAGATATCTTGTACTCTCAGATTGCAGTACCAAACGAGTGTGCTTTGTTTCTAGTTGCTGGACAGTATCTCTCATATTTGGCCGTACATAACCCCCATTATCCTGGCCTAGGGAACTTCACTTGTTCTGTTTCCCTTCAATACCTGCCTTGCTGTCACTGTCGTTCTGGCGTGCTTTCTTGCGACTAGCCGAAACCAGTCCAAGAAGTGAACGGTCCTTGAATTCACCTGTTTTCTTCTTAATTTTATCCGCTTTCTTCTTTACGGAATCGGTCAGAGACTTAAATTTTAGAGTTGGAGTCTTTGCTGAAGCTCTTGGAATCAGGTGTCGTAAGGGTCCGTCTCCCTTCCACTTCTTCTTCGGTGTTGAGTAAGGTTGGAGACGCAGCAGTCTCAGCGATGTAAGTAACCGTTTCTTGGCTTAACCGCGTTGCAAAGCTGGCAACAGTATTGTCAGTGGAGTCTCCCTCGGTTGAATCCATTGAATTCTTCAGTCTTTCTAACGAGAAGAGGTCCATGGCCCTGATGATTTTGTCGGCAGTAGAGGAGAGCTCCCAGTTCTGGCCATCTTTCGACTCGTAGGCCGGGAGCTTGACAAAGTTCTCCAAGGTCTTGACTGTCTCCAGAACCTTCTCTACTGGGGCACTGATCCATTCCTCGTATCCTCGTCCACAACGGTGGCATTCCGTGACCTCGAGGTTCTGAGGATGAAGTGCAATTAGACTAAGGTTTTTAACCTTGCTCGCCGCCAAGAAAGGACCACCGGGCGTCTCGTAAATGACCCTTGAGTTGAGTTTGTTTGCAGCTGTCAGAAGGCGTGATGCTGACTCTTGCGGTGTCCTCTATCCAGCAGCCGATCTTGAAAAGCCCGTTCCCAAGTTCGTGCTCCTGAACATAGACAATCCCCCTTTCTGTTTCCGCTGAAGTAGGAGAGTGTTGTAATTCGAGTAACAAGGATGCGTGGTTCTCTTTGAGCTCATTTCGCTGGATGGTTTCTTGATTATGACCGAGAATTATTTCGAATGTAGCGATGGTATCTTTGCCAAAATTATTGGTGGTGTCCGGGCTGTTGGAAGCGATGGTCTTGGTAGAAACAGTGTCTGTCTCTGCCGTCACACAAACAGATACCCCAAACCTCTTCCCTTCTATCAAGGTTTCATTTCTGGACCCTATAGTTTGTTTCGTGGGAGTCATATGAATATTGCTAAAGGCACATGCAGAAAGGTCAGGATAGACAAACAGGGTTGCATTGGCTCGCTGGGTGGCTAATTAGTTATACGCGTAGGGGCTGGGCAGCTCTAGGATCGGATTATCTTATGATTGCTAAAGCTTTCTTTTTACCAATACAGAATGGAAGCGTCGACTGACAGTGTTATTCAGCCTTTCTGTAAAGCGTCATTTGCGTTGATAGAAGCATCGCTGTGGCAGAGATCAACTGACCGAATGCAACCGTTAACAGGGTTTTGGGGAAGATGAAGACGCATCGATGTCCACGGATGAACAGCCTGTTTCACAAGCATGTCTATAAGACTAGGATTGCCATGATCAGAATGAGTGCCGTGGTACTGGGGCCGAAGCTTTCAGCAGATATCAGTTATCAATTTTTTGTATCTATCAAGGCGTTTCGTTTCGTTGGACAACTGATACGTACGTAATTGCAAACACTTCCTGGTAAAAGCTGCTTTGATCTCAAGTTTAAGCCGTAATTATGGCCAAGCACGCCATTCAAAGTTTCAGGGCGATGAAAGTAACTAAAAACGAATGAAATACATTTAAAACCCACCCTTCAATCACGTACAAGAGGAAGTCACCATTACACAGGCCGACCGGAACGTGGGCCCGTGCTTCTCACTCAACACATTCAGGCAGAACCGCTCGATCTAACGTCAAGTCACTCTTCCCCAGCCCAAAGTACCAAGGACTGAACGGTGTGCTTGTCGGAATAAGAAGTGGGCTCATTATGGCCCCTACGGTGCTATCGCCAGCCTCACCGGTGGAACTCCTCCACTACATCGTCACGTTCCAGGCCTATCCAACCACGATCCTCATCTGTTACCCACGAGAGGACTTTATCGCAAGACTCGTATCCGACGCCCAAGAAAACACACATGAAGATCACAGTACCCCTGAGGAGCGGCGTTCTCTACCTCTCCTCTCAGCGACGCTCTACCAGACCGCAGTCGCCCGCCACATCCGCATTCTCTTCATCCCGACAGTGACACATCTCCGCGCGTACCTCTCTGCCTTCGATCCATTGGACTCCCTGACGCCACCGCCTCCGCCTCCGAATTATCCGCCGCCATCATCCGCGAAGCGCCCACCGCCTCTGCTTCTTGTCTATGGTCTCCTCAACCTCCACCGCGACTCCAGCGAGTGGAGCGCCCAAGGCCTCAGCAACTCGGCCGCCGCACTCCTGGAAGCTGCACGGCGCACAGGGTTCAAGCCCGTCGTCGTTGAGCCAAAGGGCGCGGGAGGGCACGACTTCAAGGCTGTCCTGCAGGATGACGTACCTGTCCTGAGTGGAAGCTCGAGAAGGGACGAGGGCGTTTGGACGGGAAGAACGGTCAAGGCGAAACAGGTTTTAGGGCGATGGTTCCGTTTCCAGATGGGTCAATGGGACATTTGATATATCATCACGAGGTCTTCAATCGCCAATGCTTTCATAAAAGACCAAAAAAGGATTCATTGCCTGCCAGCATGAAAGATATCCTCCGTTCCAGCCACCAACGCCAAGCCCGTGGTATCCGTATAACTCATGTCTTCGTAGCAAATCCAAACAATAAAGCAACCGGAAGAAGAACGCCGGCCTTACAAGGCTTGCTCCATCTCGGTGATGTAAAGCTTAATGTGAGAATCCATCTTGAGAAACTCGTCGTATGCGCTGTGAATCTCGTTCTCAATGTTCTCCTTGAGGTCAAGCATCTGCCAACTCATTAGCATCATGGTTCCGCCGAGATTAGCGGCGGAAGATCAAATGTACGTACCTTCTTCTCAGTCTGCTCGATGCGAACACGGCGTCTCTCGATATCCTTGCCTTTCTCCGTCCGCTCCTCGGTCAGCTTGCGATGGACGGCACGAAGCTCTTCCATCTTCTCCTTGGCCTCCTGAGCCTTGGCAGAACTCTGCTCGCGAAGCTTCTCGGTGCGCTCATTCCACTTGAGCAGCTGCCGTTGCAACAACGCCTCTGTGCGCTCAACCTCTCGCACGTTGTTACCGCGCTCTGACAGGGCATCACGCTGCTTGGCATTCTTCAAGTTCTCCTCCTCTTCCTTGGCCAACTCGACGCCAATCTCGTCGAGTACCTTGATGCAGGACGCCACGTCCGTAGACACGACCGAAAAGGAATCAGCCGATGTCTGCAACGCGCGCGAGCGACGGTCCAGGGCCTCGATGTGCGCCTTTTCGCTGTTGAGCGCGTTGCTCAGCTCCGTGAGTGTTGCCTGCAATGCCGAGGGGCTCTGCATGACGTAAGGTCGCAACTTTGCGCTTTCCTGCTTCATGACCAGCTTCTGCGCCGTCCTCTCTTCTAGGGCCGTGGTAAGCTCTGTCTTCTTGACTTTGGCGTCTTCGAGACGGGCCGCCACGCGCTCCTGGTTGCGTCGCAGCTCCAGTAGCCTCTGTTTCAACTCCTCGTTGCGCGCCGTCTTCTCGCGCACCTGTGCTTCCATCGCCTTGCGGTTGCGCTTCATGTCGACGAGGCGCGACTCCATCTCCTGGTTATCCGAGTACAAGCTCTCAATACGCGACTTGGTCGTCTCTGCTTTGTTGAAGTGCTCATCGATAACGCTGGTCTGCGACTCGCGGAACCGTACGAAGTTGATAAGATAGCTGAAGATCTTGACGAGACGGTCATGTGACGGCTTGTAGAGGTCGTTGAAGCCGAAGTCCTGGATGCCGCACTCGGAAAGTAGACGGCGAAGGGAGACGTAGAAGCCCATCAGGTTACGGGTGTCGGGGGGGACGGTGTCGGCGTACTCGCCGCAGATGTCCTCAGCAGCGGCGCGCATGGCAGGCTCGACGGTCTCGCGGGTCGCGTTGAGGAGCAGCTCAGCGAACCACTCGAAAATCATCTGGACTTGAAGAGGGTTTGGCTTCTGAAGGTCGGCAACAGTGAAGGGGATTCCGATGTCTGTTATGCAGCCGACAATCTCCTTGTCCGGAAGGCGCATGAACGCGTCGGCTTCATCTTCTTTCTTGCGGGTTCGCGACTGGGTCTGCGTCGGGGGGATAATGCTCATTCGTGGGTTGTAGGACATTTTGCGCGACGTTCCCGAGATGCTCGATGAGGGTGTAGATGCCAATGGCTGCGAAATCGACCAAGTGGAAATAACGATCGGGTCAGTGTGGTCAAAAGATTGGATTGCCATAAACGGCCTAATCACTGTGTTGTTGCTCTGACAACACAACACACCAAACTACACTCCTCTCGCCTTATCGATAAGGCGAATACTAAGTCACGTGCTGCTCCCCGTCAGATTCTCCGACTTATTCCCGGGGACCTTGCGCGCACGCCCTCGGTCTGTCTGCCTGATTTCCTCGGATAGCGGACAATTAGGTACCTACCTACACTACGGAGTACATCTTACCTTATACTTCCTGGTCGTACTAGTTTAGCATGAAGGGACCAGCAGACGGTGACACAATGACAGGCATCCGGGAGGAGCCCAACAGAGTTCAATGCTTACTAGTAGTGTACTTTGTACATTCCTCGAAGCCGCACTGCCGATTCGCGGATACCCTGCCGAAAGCTCATTCTGCATCTCGCGCAGAAGACTGCGAAAATGCTCCTCCTCAGCGATTGGATAATAGTAGCTGTTACGCAAATTAAGCCCCAAATCTGGAGACTACGCCAAAGCCAATACCGGTATTGTACTCATTCAACAGCAGATGGCCAATTTCCCTGGCGGTACCTGGGGTTCGCCTCCCTCGGCTAGGTTACACGACGGGAAGAGCCCATCAGACGCTACAGAAGAGTGCCAATTTCGACCCGAAAAGTCCACGACGAGCAGAGGAGCGCTCCGCGCAGTTCGCAAAAGGCCGAGATCAGCACTGAACCCCAGCCAATTCCCGTCGACCGCCCACATGGCATCCAAGGTCTGCCTGGCTCCCTCTAAGACAGCCCGTCCAAGCGGTGCTCGGCAGGTGTGCAGGCTTCAACCTTTCACCTCTGCTTCATCAAACCGCTGCTTTGGGCTACAAGGGGCCATCGCATACCGCATTGCGCTATGCGGCCGGGATAACATCGACTGACACCTCCCAGTGAAACATCCTACAGTGGGCAGAGCCATTGGTCGGAGAGAAGATTCCCTCAAAGACAGAAGCCGGAGCATGAAACAGCCAGGAATTGGTTTTTCGAGATGTCCCAGTTTAGCGTGGCTGCCAGGCGCCAGGGAGCTTGTCATCGGACGAAAGGGGGCTTTATCACAACTACTATTGGCCGTGCTGTCACAGCGACGACCATTGATACTACCGGTATCCTTATGTATGCTCCGACAGCTCGTGCATGTCCGTCATTGGTTCCGCAACGACCAAATGGCTAAAGCCTCTGCAGATAACATACCCTTCGAATGTCAGTCGGGCATTCAAAGTAGTGAGCCCCCAAGTTATCCGTATATGGACGACAGTTGCCGATGCCTTTTCGTCCGCCGGAGGGCGTCACATTGCGCCGGCGCCGGGCATAGGCCGCGCGACTAGTTGGTCGTCGTGGTATTCTGCCGATAAGCAAGCTTGGGTGGCGACGCATTGACCGTACGAGATAATATCGTAGGATGCGCTTGCAGATCAGTTGAGCGAGCTTGAGCATTCCCGACTGCCTGATTTCATGGAAGGATCGTCGAGCATCTAGGAACGAGCAGCTCATACGCATCTGGTCGTCGTCCTGCAGTGCCTGTATGACCATGCAGCACAGTAACGTCGTCCCGGTACTTTGTGTATCATGTGTCGAGCCCGACAGGTACGAATGAAAAACGATGCGGTCGACACCTGCAGCTCGCTGGACCCTTCAGGAGAAATGAGGTCCGAGCATAACGTGGTTGATTGTGTCTCGCATGCAATCGTGTCAGGATCGTTCAGCCGCTGCTAGGAAGTAGTACAGCATGAATTACCCATCTGGAAGCTGTGAGAAAAGCACCGCCCGAGTCGAGACGAAATCCAGTTCGATTGAGGCTGATGGGCGACGAACCCGACCGCACCCTATACCATACCGGTACGTATGGGCACACATTCGTACAGAGCAGAACAAACTAGGAAGGTCAATATGGCAAGATGGACGAAACCCCCCGGCACAATGACGTTGTAACGGAACGCCAATCTTAAGAGGATCGCCACCCCCAAGGCGCCTACAAATTGCAATCCTGGTCAGGCCGCCGACCGAAGTGGATTGAGATGCTGAAGCTTCCATCTGTGGCGATGGAGCTGTTGCAACATGCGTGGTTGCAGAACACGGCGCGATACCTCCTAGCTGCAGCTGTAACGACATTGCGACCTCGTGACTCTTGGACTTGGGTATGGGGCGGTTCATCATCCTTGATGACATCTGCCTTGTTGCGCGCCGGCGCCGGCGACCATGACACAATGGCCGAAACTTTACTTCAATGAGGGGACTTTCGATCTGAACGTTGTCCAACAGACAAGGAGACGCCACCGACAGCAAAAGAAATGCGGAAGAGGAGTAGGTAATACTCCGTAGTAGTAGACCGTTATGCGACGCAATGCCAACAGAAACGGCACTGGGCCACGACACGACAGACATGGAATGACAGACAGCGGACACAGACACAGCACATCTATCCCGTCAGGCGAGGGGGGCACTGGTGACATCTTGTGTGACGGAGAATACAGGTACAGCTACATAGTAGACTCCTGATTCCGGCCCCTTTGCCCATGTCGACCGCTGCGAGAGCCGGAACCCCGAGACGTTGGATAGCCCGCAGCAAATACGGGTTGCAGCGTCTCTCGAACCGCGCCCGTTCAGGGCAGTTGAGGACGAATACGAGCAAATTTCGAATGTTTTCCACCACGGCGGCCTGCAAGTTCCCACCAGGCCAAGCCCGTCCGTCCCTTCGTACAGAGAGGGCCACCAGGCTCAGGTATCGGCTCGCTGGCTGCTTTGTATTGGATACGCCCCCCCCATGGCTGTGGATGCCCGATCGAAGAGGTACTATCCGTACTACGTACCTATCTAGGTACACGTACTGGCGTCCCGCTCCGCACGCAACGATACTTTAGTATACAGGGCAAAGGAACAATCCCTGCCTCATGCTCCAATAGCCCCTATGGCCTGGCAAACAGACATGTTCCGGCTTTGTTTACAGGTATGATCCCTACAGGCCACGCACCCAGGCGCCCCCTTCGTGAGGGGGCGGTCCTGAAAGTTACGCATGCAAATGGCAAAACACTCTTTGGTTCCCTGACGGACATGTTGTCCTGGAATAGAAGTAAGTATTCATGTGACTAACCAGGGACCAACCCAGTCCTTGACTCTCTGGCACCGCGGGCGGCATGTGGAGCCTGGAGGCAATGGAGGAGGCAATATGGCGATACACTATCCCGAGTGCAACTGGAGCGGTCAGATGGATGGTGTCTCCCTCAATATCCTAGGCAGTTCCGCTATAGTCCGCTGTCCTCATTCGCTTCGTCTATTGATGGTGGCACATGGTTAGGTCGGACGTGAAGGGTTAAGCTTGAAGGAGAGAAAGAGAGGTTGATCAAGTATCTGGCCTGCGGCTAGTTAGTTAGTAGGAGAGCGCTAGTTCGTGCATTGCTGGCAGCGCTCCGATCAGCCCGCCCGCAAGACAATGGCGGGCACGGCCGGTAGTCGTTGGCGCCAAACCAGTGTCAACCAGTCCGGGAACAAAGAGCCTAGCGTACGCCTCATTCCGTCCAGGTCTGTGAGCTAAGCTCAGTAGACACACGAGGTACAAGACAAGCAAGATGGGGTAAGAATGATGTGAAGATGGCGGGGACACTGGCTGCAGAAGCCAACAGCCAACCGGATGAACACCTCAGCCTGATTGCTGTCATCTCATCGGCGGCGAAGGCAACAAGCTTCTGGCGAAGGACAACATACGCAACACCGGCGTAAGGGGAAAGGAGGTTACGCAACAGGGACGGCCATTGATGGCTGGCGTCATGGCAGTTGTGTTCGAAAGGCTGCGGGACCAACGCTGGGGGGCTCTCTCTACCTTGTACACTCGATCGCTTTCAATCTGTGGCTGATGCGGGCAAGTCGATGAAGACGGTGAACTACTGTGTATGTATGCTAGTTTTTGCCCCCCCTTATCCATCCGTGATCCAGCATCCTTCGCGCCCACTAGATATCGCCCAGTGCCAGGGCATGAGTGTGTGTCGCGGAACAAGGGCCTCTCGGGTTTATCCCCTCTCTTGGTTCGCGAGGGCCCGGGGTCAGCCACCCTTGAAGCTGGGCCGGCGCATTCTGTCATTCTCGTGTAGCTGTCTTTTTTTTTTTTTTTTTCAACTTTTCGGGGTCCAATATGTGGCACAGCACAGAATAGTAAAAACCATGGGAATACCCGAAGAGGCATGACGTTCCTGCTCGAGGCCAGGAGTGCTTGAGTCGGTCTCAGCCCGCCGAATCTTGCTCCCTTCCGAGGGGATGACTCGGTGACTTGGATGAATCATCCCCCTCCCAGCCCTCGCCTTTTTCCATCTTTGGAGGACGAATAGGGAGCGATCCATGCAGACCGCCGAGGGGGGGGGGGGGGGCATTCTCACAGACCGAGATCTGGCAAACAAACAGGTCCACGACGAACCTCCGCGGTACAGCAGGCTCGATGGCACCCGAGGACCCCGTTGCCCAGCCCGGGCGCCCCGTCGTTCCTGCTTTTTCCCGCTCTGGGATGCGGCAAACCGGTTGAGCTTACTCGCAGCTAACGACGGAAGAAGAGCAAAACCCCATCTAGCCTGGATAAGGCGGGATATGGGGAGAGTACTCCGTACGGCACGCAGAATACGATGCCTTGGCTGAACCACCTCCACACCGCACCACACCCCATCCCTCCCACTTTCCTTTTCCCCTTACTCCTCTCGTGGCACACTTGGACGTACATGACGCTTGCTTCATGCTGCTTCAGCCTGCACACAGGGCGGGCGGCCCCAGAGCCCAGGGGGACGAACCGTTGGAGGCAAGGTAGGAACTCTCACAAGCTGTGCCTAGAGAGGCGTACGGCCACATTTAGAACGGCGTCCCCGCCATACCACGCTACCTAAAGATGCGTAGGTAGCCAAGGCGGCTTGGACGCAAATAAGACAGTGGCTGGTGGGACGAGACATGTAGAGACTATAGAACCCGACGGCGAGACATTGAGAACTTCCAAAGCGCGGCGGGACGACTGGATGAGACTTTGTGGAGGGAGGCAGCCATACCGGTCTCAGGGAAGGGGGAAAGATACCCAACAACCTGGCTCCCGCATTCTCTCTCTCTCCTCCTCGCTCTCAGTCCCCGCTCGTCGTCAGTAAGACCAGGCCAGGTCAGGTCAGGAACCGGCGCCACGGCAGACACACATTGCATCGCATCGCGCATCGCACCAGTCGCGCCAGCTTGCTCCTTTCAAGGGGTGTTGGGTTCTTGAAAGTCTAGCCCTGTGCCTATCAGGAACCTGGCCCGCCTGGGAAGAGCAGGGAAGATTGGTAAGAGGCAAGCGTTAGTGTAGGAATAGGTCGCCTGCTACGTATCCGTACATGTGTACGGAGTACGGGGTACATTCATTCATACACCGCACATAGGGAGCAAAGTAAGAAACTGATTGGTCCCACCCCTTCGACACCGAAAGAGAAAAAACCTGCGGCGATCAGGTCCAGTCCCTGCCTCCCCCCGTCGACGACATTGGCATTCTCCCTGCCGGCAGGACAGACAGTCGTAGGCCGTCCATCCCATTCATTCATTCATCTACCTATCCTGCTGGTGGACAAAGGCCCGCCGTCTTGAAAGAATTCAAGAACCTCAAACCAGGGGGGGGGGGGGGGGGGGTCGGCATGATATGGGGTTTCCGCCGCTGCCACTCTGTTTCGCGCGGTTTTTCACACACACACACACACACACGCGCGCGCGCGCGGAGACCCTCCGGCCCCATATAGACAGTCTCTTCAATCCCTCATGACCTAGGTAGTGTGCCTGTCATGACAACGCAACTCCAAACGCTCCATCATACATACATACATGGTGCATACGACCATGGCCATAAACGTACACTGGCCGTCCAGCATCCCGCCAACCACTTGCCAGACCATGAAAGCTAGGGGAAGCAAAGAAGAAACACCAAACGCACAGCACACCCCCTTGACCCCCAGGCACACACACACGCACCACATTCTGTCCATACACACTCACACACACAAACACGCATATCCACATCCATACCACCACCCCCTTGACCCTTGACACTTGGGCAACCCTTGCCGTCCTCCAACCCTAACCAACCAACCCTGGCCGTCGCTTCTCTCCTGGTTTTGGTCCCAGAGGTCCCGGCTCATGGCTCATGCTCCCTTGCCCTGCCACACGACACGGCCCAGTTCGGATAGCCTACAGGTACAGCAAGGTACTCCGTCCAGCATAGTATACTACTGTGTTATGTACCTATGCACCGGCAAAAGCTACTGCTACTACCAGGGCCGGCAAGCCAGTCGGCTCCCCCCAGCCAAGCAACAAAGCCTTTAGCGCACCTGTCCAAGGAGAAGGGGAGGGAGGCATACATACATAGTAGCATCGCAATAGCCCAGCCCTTTCAGTCCTGTCTGTGTTCTGCAATCGACGGACAGAAAGCCTGCTTGTTCTGGGCTCCCACCCCCCCCCTTATCCGCCATTCCATCATATCTAACCGTTGCCACTTTGCATAGCAAATGACTGCGTCCATCTTTCTTCTTTCAATTCTCGACTAAAGAGCAAGGTACCTTGCTCTGCCATCTGTACCACTTCGTCGCTCTTATACGGAGTACACGCCTATTATTGCATGCACCTCATCCTCCTCCACTCGCTTCTTAAGTACTTACATAGGACCAATCCCCCTCCTCCAATGCCCAGTTCCATGCTTGCTGCACAATCCCGGATCCTTCTTTAAGCAGTCAAGCTTCCGCATTCCCTCACCTTCGGGACATACCTACTCAGTCTTGCACTCGTTCTGAAACGAGCACACGGGGCCGTCCATACGCGATACGCATGTCACTGATCGAGATCGAATAATACACCTACGATCATGCACTCAGACAGCAGTCTTCCCTTCGCCGATCAACCCAGTATCACACGCTAACACAACACCCCTAAACTGTATTGTCGTCGCGACGTACGCCTTGTCATCTCTGGCTGATGGGAAAATGGCCATTTGGCCCTTCCGCCGGAGAAGCGGTCGCAAACGCCCACGAAGCGGTGCAAATCTGTCGGACGTTGAGGGACCGCCGCATCAATTGTCAGGCTTCAATACAGGTGAATGTGAGGCCACTTTCGCCACGACGAGGGCGGCGGCTACGCCGAAGAAGCAGCGTCTCGAAAAGCACAATGCCTCGAGGAGCAGACTGGCCAGGGGAGAACGAACGTACAGCTTCTCCCCCGGTCGCAATGACTCCATCCGTGTCGCGGGGCAAAAGGGCTCGGTTCCACTGGGACCTGGCCGGTCAACAGGGCCCTTCCCAGCCGACCGAAATGACGGAGAAGAAAAAGGGGATCCCGCATGGAAGCGGGCGCCAACCCTACATAATGCACGCCACGCCCAGCAGCAGCAGCAGCAGTCGAGGCTCTTCCGCCGGAAGACAAGCAAGAGGAGGAAACTCGAGACGGACCGTGAGGCGGAAATCAAGGCCATGACAAACTTGGGCCCGGTACGGCCAGCGGCCGACCCTTGGAGGACATCAGGGCGGCCCATCAGGAAGCAGAGCAAAAGACTCAAGACCGGCCTCGGCTTCCGCAGGAGCTTCGAAGAACCGCACTCCGATGTATCGCTACCGATGTCGATTCACTCGAGCATGTCGTCCGACACCGAGCTGCACTCCTTTCGGGTGTCCGCCCTCGAGGCACTAGCACCTCGACCGACTCTGCGATTCGCCGTCCAGCCACGATGGGAGCCTAGCAGCAGTTGGGCGCCCTCACACGCACAACAACAACACCACCAACAACAACAACAACCGAAGAGAAAGCTATCAGAGAGAGTCCCCGAATCAGTAGCGAGAGCGCACAAGAGAGTCGACAGTTTCGCCGACGACTTGGACGCCGCTGATTTGAGAGAGTTGATGGAGAGGGATAACAGGAGGAGAGAGAGAAAGCGGCAGAGAGACCAGGAGCGGATGGAACGTCGGCTGGCGCGGCGGGCGGACATGCAGCGCGAGATGGAGGCCGAAGCCAGGCGCAGCGGCTCGCCGCCGCCAGTCAACCTCAAGCGCGGGGTTATGGGTCGCGAAGTCGGACTGGGCATCGACGCACCGTCGGCGGTGGTGACGTCCTCGCGGAAGCGCTCGTGGAGCTCATCCCACCGCTCGCAAAGGATATCGACGACGACGCATGAACCCGAGCCGCACCCGGACGCCATGGACGTCGAGCCGGCGGAACCGGAGCCCGTCCACCACTTTCACCGAACGACGAGCATCCCCCCGGAAGCGCCGCCGTCGCCAACGGTGCTGCCCACGCAACCCGTTCCCCAGCGCAAGACCAGCACAAAGGTCGACCCGAAGCGCAGCATACGATTGAGGCGGAGTTTCCTACGCAAGATGTCGAGGTCGAGGTCGCCCAACGCAACGGAACCGGACCAGCACGCAGTCTCTCAGCACTCGTCCAGACAAGACGAGGGCGAGACCCCGCGGAAGACGTCCGAGTCCGGCAGCCGCACTCGCATCTTCTCGGCCCTCTTTCGGCTCGGCAAGAGGAGCAGGAGAAACTCGGGGCCGTCGTCGTTTTCGAACACATCGCGCGAAGAGATGCAGGCGGCAGCTGCGGCCCAATCATTGATGCAAACGCAGATGCAACAGCAGCGACAGCAACCACAACAACAACAAGAATCACAAGCACAGGCGCCTACACAGACGATACCGCCACCTGTGAACTACATTCCTCGCAAGGTCAGCAACGGCGTCCCGAAGAGGACCAGATCCCGCTTCAGGGAAGATTTGCCCGAGCTCCCCATCAGCCCCCCCGACTCACGCGTGGGGTCGCCGGAAGTGGAAGAGCCCCTGCCCGTCGTCTCGGAGTCGGGCTCGGGAGACCAACAGGCTGTTGCGGACGCGCCCGCCGTGAGGCACGACACTCCCACGTCAGATCTCCGACGCGTCGACGACAAGATGGAGAGGCTCGAGAGGATGAGGCAAACGCCGACGTCGATGCGGCACAGCATCCAGCCCTCGCCCGAGCCCGTGTCCCTCGCGTCCATCGACTCGGAGGGCTCGTGGCTCTCCGGCCGCGTCGGCGCCCGCCGCTCCTCGGGCCTGCTGCGCGGCAGAGTCCCGCCGCGGATCCTCACGCGCACGCCCTCGCCCGACGGCACCGAGGAGGAGCTGGCCGACGACGATTACCTCTCCAACCTCGCCACGCCCTCGCGCGGCGCCGCTCACGATGCGGACGAGGACGAGGACGAGGACGAGCGCACGCCGCGCAAGTCGAGCGGCGACGCGTTCCCCAGCAGCGACGAGGAAGACGAAGCCAACATGAAGTGGGGGTCGGTCGAGAATCCGCACGCGACCGTCAAGCAGCATCACAGAATCAAGAGCCGCGAGGGAATGCTTAAATCCTTTGCCGGCGGGGACGGAGCCTCGACGCCGTCGTCGTCGTCGTCGTCGCCCGAGGCCTCGGAGGGAGAGTCGCCCAAGCTCCAGCGCGCCACGAGCGTCAGCCTCAGCAGGGGCAATGCCAGACGTGTGAGCGCCGGGAGCGCAAGGGTGTTGGACATATCGTCTCCCCGCTCGAGCATCGACCAGAGAGGGGGGGAGCACTGACGCAGTCAAATGTGTCTGTGTCTCGTTGATGATGACGACGAGTAGAGGAGCTTACCAAAGACGACAGGGACGAGAACAAAACAGCCAGCCGAGCCGACGAGAATCACAAAGATGACATTTCCATTTCCTTATTATCCTCTTTCGTTCGAGAAATCTCGACAACCCACGCTCATTACCATTTCCTTATCCACCGACCACATTCACTCATTCACTCTCAACTATTTCCTTGCCACTGGAAGACAAAAACGACAAAAACATTTGGAAAACGACAAAGACAGAAAAAAAAAACCCTCTTTCGATGATTCTCACCCGGCTGGCTGGCTGTATACGTCCCATCTTGGATCCCACTCACACTCACACTTGACATAAAACACTGCCCCCCCCCCCCCCCCCCCCCCCCTGCTTTTCTGACTCAACGTGGGGGCACACAAACCCCTTCCGAGTTCAGCCCTCCGATTCATCTGATGTACGATACGACCTAACGACCCGCTTTCTTCCCTTACCGGCGCCGCCGGCCACGTGCTGCGCAACCCCGTCTCCCCCGGGGCTGCCCGTGCGGTGCGGTGCGGTGCGGTGCGGTGCGGTGCGGTGCGGTGCGCCTTGTTCGTTTCATGTTCCGGAATATACCGTTTGATACCACGTCTCCTCCCCGAGGGGCGAGACAATTTTTTTGAGAGTTCCATTTCACACAGACGCAACACTTTGGACTGGGCCTAGGATAAGGCCTTTCAAAGAACGGCAGTACAGCACGTCAACGCTCGTCCACGAATGCTCCGCGTCCCCCCGCCCCCAATCCCCCACCACCTCGTCGGCCGTGGCTCACCAGGGGTGAGAGAAATCTCCAACTCCAACCTGCCGCTAACAGGCAGTGAGGAGCTCAGGAAGACGGATTCAGGCTGAGCAAAAATAAAAAAGACTGGGGAGGAAGACCAAAAGAAAGAAAGGATGCGAGGGGATGCAACGGAAAACGGGAACGAGCATCTATCATGAGTTGTGCTGCCATTTATCGAGGAGAGGAAAAATCATGTTTGTAGTTACAACAGGAGAGGTGTTTCCTGGACGAGATACCCGAGTAACTCGCCTTGTTAAGCGAGGCAAATGTTATGTTCAGTAGTAGAGACGACACACAGCGCGTGTGTTGGTTGAATGCAAAAAAGGATTCAGACGCTTGGACGTTCTCCATCTCCATGTAACCACGTGATGCTCTCTATCAGACACTGAATGTTCTATTGTTGCAACATCCGATCTGGCTCAATCACTTCGTCCCTTGGGTATCCCATAAATCTAATTATCGTCCGCAGACTCTGCCCCTCCCTCTGTTTTCCAACTACTTCATTCATCTCCAATAATGTACAATTGGTTACTCTAACCATGGCGGAACCGTTTGCATGTGCTAGATTGGGGGTCACGGACCCATGTGTCCTGATCACAGTTCCATAACGGGCCTGGGCGACGCCCTCGGTGAAGGTCTCGGCGACGCACTAGGCGACAGCGACAATCTGGCCCCGATTGACGGCGACCAACCGCCCGGCCCCGGAGAGCCTGGTCTGTTGGCAAACTGCATCTCGGCAAACTGGCCGTCCTCGAGAACGTAAATGTCTAGCTCTTCGCCGCGCAAAAACTCCCCCTTGGGAGCAAAACAAAACTCGCCGCACCTGACACGGCGGTAGAACGTCTGCCGTTGGCCCGTCGAGGAAGTCTGAAGCACCGGCTCAAGATAGATCCCCACACGAGCGCGTGGAGAGGTGTCCGTCGGACGGTCGCTCGCGCCGATGGGCATGACGACCAACTTTGTCGCATCCGGCGTCATCTGAGGTGCGGGGCTCCCCCGGGGACTACCGCCCGTCACCGGTACCAAGTCAGCGACGATGGAAAGGCCCATGTTCGTCATGCTGAACAGTCGGAACGGGGACGCCGAGTGCAGCGCACGCTGGTGGATGTCCCGTGAGTGGGCAAAGTCGGCCGGCGAATCGGCCAACAGCCCTGAGGAATGCACGGCCCACCGCCGGCCCTCGCCTGTGTACGGGTCGACGATCTCCCGGGCGGGGTCGGCGCGCCAGGCGAAAATGGTCTCGTCAGGCGAGGTGGAGATGATCTCGTGCTGCAGTCGACGGAAGGCACTCGCCAGGCCCTCGCCGTAGAGCACGGGGATGTTGACGGCGAACAGGCCCATAAGGCAGTAGGCCCGGTCCTCGTCACGGGTGGTCCGGCGGGCGGCGGCCCAGGACATGCGCTCGGCGACGGAGTAGTCGCGCGGGTGGCGGGTCCTTGCGAGGACGGACTCGAAGATGCCGGTGATGGAGGCGAGGGCCTGGATAAAAGGGCGCTCGGTGCTGTGCAGGCCCTTGGTGCCGAGGCGGGACCAGTCGGCGGCGTAGAAGATGGAGCGGCGGGGGGCAATGAGCTCCTGGAGGGTCCAGCCACGAGTGAACCAGCGTGAGGAGGCGAGAGAAGGGAGCTGAGCCATGGGTGGCGAGGACGTCAGGGGTGGGACGTCGGCGAGATAGACGAAGCAGACGCGAGAGAGGAGGTAGTAGGAGTACATGGAGTTGATGGCCTCGGAGAGCTCGGCCGAGGAGGTCTTGTCGATGCAGCAGGAGTCGACCCAAGCCCAGGCGATGTCGTGACGTAGAGCCTGAAGGCAGCATCCCTGGATCTTGGCGAAGCCGGCCTTTGTGGCGGCGAGGGGCAGGTTGTGAATGTCTTGAAAGGTGACCTCGTCGGGGCCCCAGGTGTGGGAGAGGATGGCATATGGCGGCACATTGGTGCCGGCAAACATGCAGAGTCGGTAGGTTGTTGTGTTGATGAGCCACATACTACCTAGGTACCTACCAAGCTTGTGGTATATGTATATGTATGCAAAGTTGGGCACAGAGACGCCGTAGACAAGAGGTCGAAAAGGAGGAGAGAATATGATATGCGTGTGTGCGTATATTGGAAAGCACGCGCAGTAGAGCCTCGTTGTCGGGCCTCTTCTTTGCTGTAGTTTCCCCGGCCGGCTCTCTCCTGCGAAGTGAGCATATGAAAGAGACGATGGGCGCGTCACGTCACGGTCAATCAGCCTCGTGCAAGGCAGGCAGGCGTATGCGCAGGCGCAGTTTACCAGCCCTCCATGGCGGCTCGACTAGACTGCGGCAGCCGCCTTGCGTTGGGGTAACTTGATGAGCTAGCAAGAACGAGATGGTTCGCCGAGCCTCCCACCTGCCTGAATGGCAGTCAGCGCTGGTGTGGAAGGGGAGAGAGAGAGAAAGTATACTAGGCGGTCATGGGGAAGGAGCACATACGGCGACTTCCCCACGTGGTCGTGATACGAAGCGAGCGCAAGTGTCGGTGATATAGTACCTACCTCTCTCTTGTGTACGCGAAGAAGTGAGATGTAAGTCAAGTGCTCTTCGCAGCTGAGCGGCTCTCACTTTGGGAAGGAGGCACGAAAGGGGGCCAACTACCTACCCATGCTACCTACCTAGGTACCGGTAGGTAAGTAATACCGACGATACGCAAGTACATCGGACCTAGGTAGGTGGGCAGCTGTCAAACAGGCACAGACAGCTGGCTTGGCAGTGGCGGCCTGTCACCCGCCTTGGTCATTCGGCATGTTACTTCGGCTGGTCGGTCACTCGGCTTCGCAAAAAAAAAAAAAAAAAAAAAAAAAAAAGCACGCAACAGCAAAACGGACCAACAGAAACAGGAAGAAACGAAAAAAAAAAGCCCCACCACCTCACACAGGGCCCGGACGCCGATAAAAGGGCCGTCGGAAGTGCCGCAATTTACCGTCGACGCCCGATGCGCTGAGCGTCCAGGGGTCCAGGCGGGCAGGTTTGTGGGTGTGACGAAGCCGGGGCTTTTGCCTTGCCTTGCCTTGCTTCGCTCGCTTCTCGGCATTGGCGTCCATGTGTTGTTGCAGGCGACTCGGCGCATGCGCAACCGGCAAACAAACCTCTCCCTTGATAACCTCAATCATGACCCCTCAATAACCTCCCAAACTACCCAACAAGAAAGCCATGTCCACGCCGACGCTGCTCCGGGTCCTCTTGCGGCGCCATGCGCCCCGTCTGCGCACTCGTGTCTCCCAGAACCACCAGCGCCGTGCCAACTCCGATGCACCCAAGCCGAAGCGAGCAGAGGACCCCATCCCCGTGCCCAACACCGTCTCGACCATCCCCTTATGGCAGCGACTCGGGCCTCTAACGCGTGCCGTCGAGGGTTATGCCCGCAGCCAGCGGAAACGACCCTTGACCACTCAGTTCATCACTTCCCTCGCCATCTACTTCTGCGCCGACCTTTCGGCCCAGCACATGAGCGGCAAGGACTACAATCCCGAGCGGACGATGCGCTCGCTCATCATCGGTGCCATCTCGTCCATTCCCAGTTATAAGTGGTACGTTGGTCGTCGTGCTGCTATCGTGCAGTCGTCCGTCGTCGTCCGTCGTCGTTCGTCGTCGTTCGTCGTCGTCGCAGTGCCGAGGAAATAGTTCGCTGACCAGGTTGGCATTCCACAGGTTTATCTTCCTCTCGCAAAACTTCAACTACGCCTCGCGCCTCCTCTCGCTCGGTACAAAGGTCGTCGTGAACCAGATGTGCTTTACCCCCATATTCAACTCGTACTTCTTCGGCATGCAGGCATTCCTGGCCGGCGACAACTTCGACCAGATCATTGAACGCATCCGCCGGACGGTTCCTGTGAGCATCGTCAACTCGTGGAAGCTGTGGCCCGCCGTGACGGCCTTCAGCTTCTCCTTCATTCCCATGGAGTACCGCAGCGCCTTTTCGGGCGTCATCGCTGTGGGTTGGCAGACGTATTTGAGCTTCTTAAACAGACAAGCCGAGGCCATTGAGGAGGCTGAAAAAGTACGGGAGAGAACTCATGCTGTGCAGCCCATCGCTACCCGTGAGAGGCCGGCCAAGATGGAGGCGTAAGGGGAAAGGAAAGAAAGTTGTAACAAGGACCTACTATAGACATTCGTTGCAGGGTTGTGTTTTTTTTTTTTTGTAATGCATCAGGACGGCGTTGGATTTAGAGGGAGGATAACCAGCCATGGAGGACGTCATGATCTGGTACGATTTTATCCTAGGAAGACTTACTTTAGACGTGATACCGTGCCAATACACACTGTAGCCGCACTGTCCCACCCGTCCCAAACCGACGCCAAAAGTTGCATCCACACTTCGCATGCATTCCGCCTTCGGCACTCGATAACAGCCCAGACTCCAACCCCGAGTTCTCACCCAACGCCGAGCCATTGAGTGCTGGCCAGGACCAGCAACTCTTCTCTGCAATGGCGTCCATCTGCATGCGATTCGGCAGTGCGCAAACCCTTCTCCGCACCGCCAGAAACAACACTGCCATCCGCCCGAGACTCCCTAGCAATGCCCCTTGCCGTTATGTTTCGACCGGCCCCGGCCCTTCGACCGAATCCCAGCCAGGCTCGAGTCTGAAGGCTGGACTCTACGGAATTGCCCTCGCCGGCTCTCTCTACCTCTCCTACCTCTACGTCACCGACACCCGAGCCTCGATCCACCGCCTCTCGCCCATGGTGATGCGCTTCGTCTGGAGCGACGCCGAGGACGCCCACCATGCTGGCACGAGCATGATGAAGACACTCTACGACCTGGGATTACACATTCGCGAACGCGATAGGACCCTAGCCGAACACCCGGCCCTCGCCACCGAGGTCTACGGCATGCAACTCTCGAACCCCATTGGAATCAGTGCCGGCCTCGACAAGCATGCCGACATCCCCGATGCCCTCTTTGCCCTCGGCGCCGGCATCGTCGAGGTCGGCGGCTGTACCCCCCGCCCGCAGGACGGCAACCCCCGTCCGCGCGTCTTCCGCGTTCCGACCCTCGACGGCATGATCAACCGGTACGGTCTTAACTCGCGGGGCGCCGACAGTATGGCAATTACACTTAGGGAACGCGTGCGCAAGTTCGCCCGCGAGGTCGGCGCCACGGAGCAGGAGGTCCTCGACGGCGAGGCTGGTGTTCCTGCGGGCAGTCTGCTGCCTGGCCGCCTGCTGGCTGTGCAGATCGCCAAGAACAAGGAGACGGACCAGAAGGACGTCAACGCCGTGGCCAAGGACTACGTCTACTGCGTGCAGCGCCTGGCGAGATACGCCGATATCCTGGTCGTCAATGTCAGCAGCCCCAACACCCCTGGTCTCCGCGACTTGCAGGCTACCGAGCCCCTTACGAGGTTGCTGAGCGCCGTGGTTGACGAAGCCGCCAAGGTCGACCGCAAGGTTCGCCCCAAGGTCATGGTCAAGGTGTCCCCTGATGAAGAGGAAGACGCCCAGGTCGAAGGAATTGTCCAAGCCGTTTGCAACAGCGGCGTTGATGGCGTCATTGTCGGCAACACCACTAACCGCCGCATCGGCATCGTTCCCCCGGGCGTTAAGCTTACGGCACAAGAGCACAAGGCCCTGCAGGAGACGGGCGGGTACTCGGGCCCTGCTATGTATAACAGGACTCTCGAGCTGGTCAAGAGGTATCGGAAGAAGCTCGACGCCAAGGCCCTGCGGACTGGCTCGGCCGAAGAGGCGGCTGCCATCCCATCCACTGACGGCAGCCTGTCTGGCAAGACCCACGACCTGATTGAGGGTAAGGACACCCAGAGAAAGGTTATTTTCGCGACGGGAGGCATCACGAATGGAGAACAGGCGTTGAACATCTTGAATGCTGGTGCAAGCGTGGCCATGGTGTATACAGGCTTGACGTACGGCGGACCGGGAACAATTACCAGGATAAAGAAGGAAATCAAGGATCAGGCGTAAAAATACCAAAATAGAACTCTATTGCCCAGCGCAGGCAACTCTTTTCTCCTTTTTGTCAAACCGGTCGCTTGTCTTTGTTACAACAGTTGCAGTGCCGTCTTGGTCATTGGACGCCAACAGCCCACCCATCAATATCAGAAATCCCAAGTCTTCATTACAATACGATAGTGACCATGTTCTCGCTGCATCTCGTACAGGCTTTGGTCTCTGACCGCGTCTTTTGGGTGAAGCAGCTTTGTGCATGAAAGCTCTCGTCCAGTTCATATACAGAAAAGCCCTCCAGATATCCCGTCAATAGAAGAGCTCATGCTGGAGCAATGCTCTTAATTAGACACTCCTCTGTCGAAAGCTACTTGCCGTTGGATCAGCACCCGTCAGGCTAAATCAGCCATCCAAGAGAGGCCCATAAGCCTGGTCGAAAAGAATATTATCCCATACAGGACGCCAGGCAGGATGTAAGCCTCGCCCAGAGCTGCCAGAAGGGACCTGGGACAATGTTCCGCGAAATTTCGGAGGCTTGAAGTAGAACTGTTTGGTTTGCTTGCGGGGCAAGTTCTGTGGTGCGTTTGATAATGTTTCGTGGCGGAATTTGAAAATCGTAAGTGATAGAGAAAGTGAGAATCCTTGGTATTGATTAGTATTTGGGGCGCTAAGGCTGGGTCGGAGACAGGATCTAAGTTGGCACCGTAACTGTGGCCCGAGTTGCTTTATGTAGGTCGACCGTTGTTTCTTTTGCTGTAAGACCCGGAGAATGTATCTTTGTTTAAGAGAAATAAAATACGATCTCTTATTGCCGTTTTAGTGGACGTCATTTGCGTCTTCGATCTCAAGAGTCTCTTCGGCCCAGATGTTCATGCACGCCCTAAACCCAAGGTAGCAGAACACCACGGGTAAGAAACCGAGGGAGATGATGAGTAGTTTCGAAAGTCCTTCCATTTCTGACAGTTTGAAGTAGCAGCAAAGGTGATGGAATAAAAAACATCTCAAATGAGGAAATGCGAGTATTTAAGGAATTGCACCGGACATAGAGTTTTGTGTCGCAAAGGAGACAAGACTCAAAGATCCGTGGTAAACAACGAGTCAAAATTGAATGAGAAGGTTTATCATTTTCTTCTACTACCTCCTATTTTCCTATTCCCTTGGAACAAAATGTTGTGCAGAGTCTACCCTGCTGCCAGAAAAAGCAGCCCCTTTTAACTCCGTGTGACCCGTGAGCGAGTGACGCCTAACGCTTGCACTAATCCATGCAGAGCCCAAATCCGTGTCTCGATCCGCAAATCTTGACGATCAAATCGCAAATTTGACATTCCCAAGATGCGCCTATAATGGAACCCCTACTGCTCTAGGCCCAGGCCAGCTGCTTAATCCTGGCCCTCAACAATAAATTCGGGCGCGCTCTCAAAGCCAACAACCTTGACAGGTTGCAGCTTAGCAAGCTTGACCAGCTTCTCACGCGCCGCCTCGTCGAGCTTGACGTCTTCCTCATGGTGAGTACGAGGGCGGACTTTGATACCAGTGGGGTAGAGATGTTCAATCTCGACGTCCTTGCCGAGGTCGAAGAGCTCGGACTTCTCGCGGAAGCACCAAGGACGGCCGTCCTTCATGACCAGGTCGTGAGTATCACGGACATCCTTGGCGTGCAGGGAACGGTAGCCGCCGTCCAGCGAGACAGCGATGGAGCTGTGCCAGGGGGTGCGAGGGAAGCCGTCCGGGTTGTGCTTCTCTTCCAGCAGCGGCATGGAAAGTTTGACTGCACCGCTGGAGGGGTGGATGGACAGCCGGACGTGATCGGGGCAAGTGGCGAGAATGATCTTTGTGAAAGACTCGGCGCGCATCATCATCTTCATGGCAACTTCCTTGACGATTTTGCGGTACTTGTGGCCGGACTTGGCGTGCGCCGCGACAGGGCTGTTGCGGAGGTCCGTCTCGAGGAAGCGGATGAAGCCGCGGTATGTCATAAGGGTGTCGTTGTCGGTGTCAATCATGGCGCGGACGTCCTTGTCCGGGTCGCCGAACTGCGCCTCGAGCGTCGCGCGGCTCTCGGCGACGAGCTCCATGTACTTCTCCTTGGTGAGAGGTTCGTCTTCCTTGGTCAGCCCGAGGAAGTCCATGACACGGAGAAGCTTGATGCCGGTGTAGCCCTTTTGAGCAGCCATGTCCATGAGAGCGGCGCCGTACTCCCAAGTCTCGTCATCTGAGATGCCGACGACATCTGTTTCAAGGATCAGTAACCATGCTATGAGGTGGTTGGGTTTACAGCGTGCAAACTAACCGTTGAATACGAGCCCGTCAGTGGCGATATGAACCTCCGCGCCGTGAGTGTAGACCTTGCCGATCTCCACGCACAAATCATTCAACCTGGCAAGAGCCAGCTCCTCTCCGAGGTCAGGAAGAGCACCGGTCACCTTGTCGGTTCGGTTGATGCTCTTCCAAGGAAAGGCAGGGATGATCATCTTGACCGACTCGTTCTTCTTGATGTACTCTTCTACGCGAGGGTGGAACATTTTGCGTCCAAGCCACTCGTGATTCTCCTGGCCTTCGGGAATGATGTGCCTTCCAAAGACCTCGAGAACGTCCAAGACCTTGTGGGCAACCTGCTCAGTTGTCTGATCAATAGGAGGTGTAGGAAGATTCCCCGTGGTAGCACATTCATCTAGGTTGTGGGATTTAGTCAACGGATCGGATGGAGGGGCCAACGGGAACCTACCCTTGGAAATATTGCCTGTTACCTCGTTAAGGCCAGAATTACGAAGAGGATCTTTAAAGGCACTGAAAGGGCTCCGTGTGTTTGTGGAACTGGCAGGGCTCATCAAAACTTGATCAGTACCGGACAAGTCGACTGGGTCAACCGGCGAGCCGACCTCGAAGTCGGCAAAGTCGAGGCGCATTTGTCTGAGAGGGCTAAGAGGACTCCTCAAGTCGGAGGCATTGAGAGGCGAGATGGCGCTTATGGGGCTTTTCAACTCCGAGCCGATACTGAGATGTCTGGAGCTTGGAGCTCTCAGCTGGAGAACTGGCCTTCCCAAAGGCTTCCTAGGGAGCTGCCCTTTAACGTCCGCCGGGGAGGTAGAGCTGGGGACTGTTGCTGCGATGGCCATTATGACGGCTGCGTGAAAGAAGAAAAAGATGCTCAAGAGGAAAGAATACGAGGTGTAGATTTAGAAAGATGCAAGATGGATCCAGAGAAGATGGAGAAGCCGGTCTGTATGATGTGAAGGGTGAGAAGACTTGATTGATTGTTGATGATGCAAGCAAGCTTCGAAAGGTCTTTGGGGATTCTTCTTATACTTGAGGAGTTGCGATACTCTTTGGCTTGGCTGGAAAGCTCATCGTTCAAGAAACACGGCCATGGCATTTTGTGTCGACTTCCGAACGCATTTGATTCGAAGACTACCCGGAAACTTTCCCATGGTCGATATCCAGGTTCGAATGGCTGAGAGCTGTGGCGTTTGAGCTGAGCCCACACAAGCAAGCCAAGATTTTCCCGTTTAGGCGGTGGGCGTGCATCGTTACGCAAAGTAGCCGTGCCTTCATGCAGCGACAGTACAACTCTGGAACAAGCCTATACTGTATTTTTGTAAAATTTAGTGGACTCGGTAGAACAATATAGAAGCGCCAAGCCTGAGTCGTGATGCAAAGGTACCGGTATTGTCTTGCCTCGTGTAGTAGGACGACACGCCAAGCACCTGGCGTACCGCTGCAGTGGGTATAAGTCGTTACTCTTGGCATCTTGAACGCAAACGTCAACCATTTCGCCAAGACCGCGAGACGACCGAGCCCTAAACGTCATTCTGGGCTGAACATGGCTTGACCTAGCAAGACAAAACCCATACGGGAGTAGATCAGGTATCGTTGGTTTGCACTTGGCATCTAGCGCCTGCGGGCTGATCTGCGCTAAGCCAGATCAACTACCCTAAATTTAGCGTGGAAAGCTCAACCAAGAAGCAAAGCTAGGTCTAACCCAGCACAGTTGGTGCAGCAATTGTTGCAGCATGTCAGCCACGGGATGCTACAACGCGGCCATGACTAGTATGCCAAGTCTAAGTACGCCAAGATTCATCGCATAATTCGCCGTAACACGATTATTATTATCGCCTTCAGGTCGTATTCTGTAGTGCGTCCTCTGCCCTGGGGCTGAGCTAGCATTCATTCTTCAGCAACGCCAGCAAGGCACTGTGGGGTGAGCCGCGTTCGGAGACTTTTGCAGTGGTTTCACTTGTCGTATAGGACCCAATGGCTAAGTGTAACTTCCCCTGTCATCTTTACTATTTGTCGACATGAAGTCCTGGCTACCCTCTCAAGAGAGTCGAGGTAACCAGTTCCAATTCCAACCAAACCAACTTTCAATAGTCATCTCCAATTTTGCAGACTTCTTTGCAGTTGACTTGACGTATCCGATCTATTTGACACGTCAGGAACTCAACCCTTCTTACCCAGATCATTCAAGAGGGAAATTACGACAACGTTTCTCAGCCGTCATTTGTCGAGGGTCTCTTCAGCAATACCTACAACCTTCAACCAAATAAGCATGGGGAGCAGCGAAGAAGGTCGAGCGACCACCCGGAGCCAAGTGCTTTCGGAGATTCACCAACCGTCGCCAGACGTCAATGAAGAAGAGAAACAACTTGTCTATCAGGCACCTGAAGGGCCTGATGGCGGTCTCCAGGGCTGGCTTCAGGTCGTTGCGGCTTTCCTCCTTGTATTGGATGGCTTTGGCTTCATCACGGCCTTTGGTGTCTTTCAAGCACACTATCGTACTATTCTGCCGGACACTGTCACCGACAGAGACATCTCATGGATCGGATCAATGCAGATATTCCTTCTTTTCCTCTTGGGAACGGTCAGCGGCAGGCTCATCGATGCTGGGCACTTTAGAATCACATTGATCGTGGGGTTCGTCTTTCAAATCGGAGGTGTCTTCGCAGCTTCGTTTGCCAGTCAATACTGGCAATTTCTGCTCTCGCAAGGCATCGCCACTGGCATCGGCAACGGGATGCACTTTACAGGCCTTGTCTGGTTGGTCTCGCAATACTTCACCAAGAAGCGAGGCCTGGCTCTTGGAATCAGCTCATGCGGTGCCCCTATCGGCGCAGTCCTGTTTACCGTCATTGCACGCCAGATGATTGAAAAACCGGGCCATCAGTGGACGCTTCGTACGATGGGTTTCCTGATTCTCGCTGACAGTATCGTCATCTTTCTCATCGCTCGGCCCAAGGCGGCTACGCGCAAAGGGGGACCTCTATTGGAACTGTCAGCTTTCAAGGAGCTGCCGTACCTGCTTTTTACAATTGGCATGTTTTTTGCCCTTTTAGGTGTCTACTTTGCATACTACTACGTATGTACTTGCAAAACTGCTTCTGTGAGCATCTTGCGGATCAACAGCTGACTCTGTACAAGGTCCCCAATTTCGGTCGCGACAAGCTAAAGCTTCAACCAAACGAAACTCTGACAGTTCTCATTGTCATGTCAGCCGTGGGAATCATTGGGAGATTGATTCCGCCGTTCATCGCCGACAAGAGCATACGACCTTTGAGAACACTAGTCATCTCCCTGCTCCTCAGCAGCCTCAATCTCTTTGCGTGGAGTGCTGTAAGCTCGACTGCTGGGCTCTATGTCTGGGTCATCGCCTACGCTTTCACGGCCAACGCAGTGCAGACGCTGTTTACCGCGTCCATGGGCGAGGTCACATCCGACATGTCCAAGCTTGGTGTGAGAATTGGCATGGTTTTCACCATTGTCAGCTTTGCCTGTCTGGTTGGATCCCCTATCGGGGGAAGTCTCGTTGATATCAACCATGGCGATTACACGTATGCACAGATATTTGCTGGCGCATCCATGCTGTTGGGTGGCCTGCTTGTTGCAATGGCAAAGATCAAGCAGGTTGGTCTGAAGCAATTCTGGCGTATTTAAAACCTGGTTTCATAAAAAAACAGCATTGGCCGGCGCTTTGGTCCTTGTCATCGCTTCCCCGTTTCTTCTTCGTTATTCAAGTCCACTCGCCAGACAACTGTCGCAAACCATGCTAAGTAACAGCGAATATCTCAAATCCGGTTATCTATATCGGGTGACGTATTGTATTCGTAGGTAGCTTAAATACATAACAAATAGTGGGCATGCAATAGTCAGTTTTACTCGAAGTTGCAACAATCTCCAAAGAAGTCTAAGCAAGGTCTGATGGTGGCACTCTGGTGACCCTCGGTAGAAGGTCGCTTTGCATGTTTCGGAGACTTTCCCCTGTTGCATATTGTATGCCCGCCTATCAGGGCTGAAAATACATCCAAGCACACTAGCCTGGTTTCGGTTTCCACACGCATCTAGGAGATGATGTCGCATTGAGTGTAATAGTGGATTCTCAGCCCTATCAGACCAGACGACATTGGACTATTATAGCCTGTCCCTAATTATCGCTAGCATACCCTCAGGGTTGGAAATAAGTCGACTTAAATCGACTTGTTTCCAACTCTGCATACCGTCGAACTGCTTTGAGCTTGGCGCTTTCATTATGGCCTAGAATTCTTCGGCGACATTGAATGAACCAACTGCATGCAGCAGAGACCCAATTAGAGGTCATGGTTCATCTAATAATGTGCAAGGTTACCCACATCGTTCGGGATTCTGCAACCCTGGCCCGGCCTTAAAGATTAAGCGGAATGTAAACTAATTAGACAGGCAACATTTGTCTAGCTTCTCCCTTAGTTCCTTTGCGGCGATTCCAATTTGCCAAATATGATTCGCTACGTATGGACTCGCTCGACTTGTTCTAGTCAGTCTAGTTCATTCCACGGCTCTCGATGCGGCCATGTGCGTCGCGACGCCAGTTAATTAAAGCCAGACAGTCTCAACTGAAAGATCAATTAACCAGATTTCTACAATGGCGGAATACTGCGACGCTGACTTACTTAATAGCAAAGCCGGCAGTAGCTTATACTGAGAGTCAGACAGTATACCAAAATGGACAACCACGCTACTTGGCAACATGTGAATCCGAAACAAAGAATTTACAGAACCCTCAAACTTGAACAGAATGTACCAGACAAGCGTACCAGGAGAATAGAGGCTAGGGGTCTAGTGGCGCATGGCAACCAGGAGGTCTCAAGTATCGTGGCGTTGACTGCCTGCGGCGACTTTTGGACTAATGGCAACTCAGCTTCAAGCCACATGCAAGCCTAGCTCGTTCAACGTTTAACCCAAACTGATCGGCTAGCCCTGAACATGCCAAGTCGGAAAGGATATGCGACCCTTGGATTCCGACTCTCTGCTTTTTGCCTTCAGCTTAGCGTTTACCTTGAGTCCTGTCATAAACTAGCCCTATACGCTTGGGTGATTGAATGTTGCCGGCCGTCCAATCTCTTCGAAAGTTTCTCGGAGGGTCATCTGGAAGACTAAGAATGAAGGTAATGATGCCTGGTGGAGACTGTTGGCTTATAAGTCCGGGATTGGCATCAAGTTCAACCCTCTTGATCTGTCGGTCCTGTCTGACAACCCCCAATTTCTTTCACTTCTCTTTAGATATACCCTGACATGAAGCCGCCGGCGTCAACTGTCTTCAGGTACCGAACACATCGAGAGCCGTTTTCGTCAACGCTAACAGAGAGTAAGGAACGTCAGGCTGTGCGGCCTTTTGTTTGGTCTCTCACAGACCGTATATGCCACCTCTGGAGAAACAGCAACTGTCTCAAAGACAGTAACACCCCAAGCATGTCTGCCTCAGTATCTTGGAGTCGGAACGGACGGCAGAAAAGCAGATCCCCCGTGGGGCAGCCGGACATGCGAGACTAACCCTGACGACGTGCCTACCACTGGTGTCACACGGAGATACGAATGGACGATTCAAAGGGCGGTTCTGGCCCCAGATGGATTTGGTACGTTGCATCGATGACAGGATCCGCCGGCTTACACCCCCGGAGCGGTAACACTAGGCTATGAATTCCAGTTCACTGGCTAAATACTCCCAAAACGTGCAGAACAGACTTTACTTACTGTCAATGGACAGTTTCCCGGGCCCCTTTTAGAGGCCAATTGGGGTGATATGGTGGAGGTTACCGTTCACAACAACATCACGGATCCAGAGGAAGGCACCGCAATGCATTGGCATGGGTGAGTCCAGTAGCCCAGGGATACGACGGTATCCTTCCTCTTCATGCTAACGTTGAGTTCAGCATTCACCAACAAGGGACTGGTCTCATGGACGGAGTTAGTGGCATTACCCAATGCCCTATTATGCCTGGTGGTAGCTTCACTTACCGCTGGAAGGCCAGCACATATGGGTCGACGTGGTATCATGGACACCACGCCCTGCAATATGGCGGGGGTCTCTGGGGTCCGTTGATAATCTACGGCCCGTCTCATGTCAAGTTTGATTTTGACCTCGGCCCTGTTACACTTTCCGACTACTATCACTATCCCTACGATACAGTCGCAATGGATGCCATTTCGACTAGCAATGATACCAACGTTTACGCCCCAAAGTCGAATAATCACCTGATCAACGGAAAAAATAGCTACAACTGCTCCTTGGCACCCGCGAACACAACCTGCACCAACAACGCCGAGCGCGCATCTCTCAGGTTCAAGTCCGGCAAGGTTCATAAGCTTCGGCTTATCAACACCAGTGTCGAGGCCATGCAAATATTCTCCATCGACGGTCACACGCTCACTGTCACCACAATGGACTTTGTCCCTGTCGAGCCTTACCAAGTGGAATACATCATTCTCGGTGTTGGGATGAGAGCTGAAGTCCTTGTCAATGGCACTGGAAACCCCAAGCAATCTTACTACATGCGGACGAGGATTCAATGTGCTGCTACCAACACCACCGAAGCACTCGGTACAATCTATTATGATGAAACTCCAACCACGGTAGTTCCGGCAACCACAACAGTCTCGGCACTCCCTGACTTTTCTTCTACCTGCGGTGATGTAAGTCATATACATCCATCGCATATTTCAACATCTATATGAACTCTGACTTCTTTCTACAGCCTGACCTCCCTAAGAAGAAGCCAATCTACAAGAAAAGCGTCCCCAAGCCGGACCTGACCCTGCTCTACAACATCACCTTTGGAGCGAACGCCAGCGGCAACCACCAATGGTTGATGAACGATGTGACGTTCAAGGCGGACTGGAGTCGTCCCTTGTATATTGAAGCGGCCGACGGCAACGACGAGTATCTCAAGGATCCTCAGCATATTCTGGCGACCATCCCTGATGAAATCCGCCACGTTCGCGTCATCATGAACAACAATTTCTCTATCCATCCCATGCATATCCATGGCGGTGACTTTCAAATCCTAAGCGAATCAGATGGATTTTACAATGGGACCATTGATTACCCCAAGAACCCGGCACGCGCCGACACGGAACTCCTCCGACGCAACGGCCATCTCGTTGTACAGTTCGACGCGAAGAACCCAGGGGTCTGGAGCTTTCACTGTCACACTGCTTGGCACGCCAGCGTTGGACTTTACATCAACTTTCTGGTCAAGCCCAAGGCCGTCCGGAAAAGTAAAATTCCTGACGATGTAAGGGAGGTTTGCCGGGCTTGGGATGAGTACAGGCAATTGAATGGCGCAAACGCATTTCCTTTTGATAGTGGACTTCGATAAAAGTACTGCCTGCGAGGAGACTTCGCTAGTTAGTGATTTGACGGGCGTGACAATGCATGAATGAGTCTTTGGTGCGGATATTTTCAACTTCGCATACCGAGGAGTAATTACTTCTGCGGGATTCCTAGCCGATGTTTTGTTTTTATTCTTTATTTGGAATAATTGGCAGGCGGTTTCACATCGCTTTAATTACCCTCAAGGATGTCACCCGATAATCAGAGCAATACCTGTATAGCTAATCACTCGGATAGAGCTACAAACATAAGTGGCGTTGAAAGCGCTTGGTTTCGAGCGATTGAGCCAGAAACAGGTAAAGCTAACATGGTTCAAGGCAGCTTTTATCTAAGCGATGTTATTGGTAGTGAATACAAACATTGAAGAGGCTGGCCACCTCTCTCGCTCTTGCCAATGCACGGAGGCGTCTTGTCGTTCTCGGACTCGGGCCGTTGTAACTTGTCTCCCACCCGCTTCCGACGGCTGAGAAGGTGTGGCTGATAGGAGAAAGGCTCTTTACGCATCGCTGGCGTGGGCGAATACTTTAAACCTGCACCTATGGTACGAGGCATACCGGATCGACAATCTTTCGGGGAACGATGGAAGCGGCAGTGCTGGCCCGTTGTTGCGGAGTCCATTGAGTTGCATTGTCTCTTGACATGCCTTAGTTTGTACCAGTCTCCGAGTGACCTCATTTTATAATTTTCTTTTTCACCACCTTGGTCATCACATCCAGTACCCATCTTTCCAGAGATCCTTTCTGTATCCCTCGGTCAGCCGCTCGTCCTCGCCATATACCTCTTGCCAGCCAACGAAGCCACGGTCGAGGACGAAGACAGTCGGCGGTTCCGTGTTTGTTGTTTCGTCGGCTGTTTCCGAAGAATTTTTCGTGGCTTTCATCCGTTCGCATTCTCGAAGGTACCGAAGGGCGGCGCTGGGTCCCCGCTGCTGGGAGAGAGCGCAATGGAAGATGACGGTCTTCTTGCCTTCCAGACGACGGACGAGGGTAGGCATCATAGCTTCGAGGCTGCGGGAAGGAATATGGATGCAGCCTTTTATGTGGCCGCCGATATAATCTGTTAGGAGGAAGAATATTAGCAAGATCTTCCCACAACCGCCTCATGGGCAGAGATGAAAGGCTGGCTGACCATCGTCGCGGACGTCGACCACGGCCACTGAGGGGTTGGTTGCGGCCTGTTCTGCCAGGAGTATGGTTGAGAGCTTGTCGGCGGTGATGCGCTGAAGATTTCCGATGCTCGCCATGGTGCGCGCAGAATGGTAAAGTCGCGAGGCGAGGACGTTCATCAGCCAAGGAATGATATGTGACGTTGAAGCAACTCGGGCTAAAGTTTATCGCGAAGGCCTGGACTTTGGGGGGAGCTTGGACGCGGGGCAACTTCACCCCCTGCTGCCGGTAGGGAGGGAAGCATTACAGGCCATATCCTTGTCTTAGGAGGTATTACATAATCTCACTTTGCCCGCCTTTCCCTTCCGGGCATATTGGTTTTCCATGGCGAAGACGAATGTCGTACTACGTCTTCCATGTTCAATTTACACTTTATGAACCCTCTCGCCCTCCTCTCTCGTCGGCGTGCAGTCTACTAAATCTTCCAAAGCTCGAATCCCACAGTATGTACTACACTATGCCGCCATCTAGGGTCACATTCGACCAACACTCAAGCAGGCAACTTTTCCCATTTCATACCCACAACGCCCACGATAGAGATGACAGCGACAGCCATAGGTACCCTAAAAGTTTCTCTGAGTGCTTTATTATAAGCCTCGATGACGGCGGGCAGCAGATCTTCAGGGATCATTGTTTTGAGGTTGGTAGCTCCCATATCTGCAATCGTCTGCCCGCTTAGTCCACCTGTAACGTGGAGGTGTTTTGTTAAACCATTTGCAAAAACGGTGTTGGCGACAGACATGAGAATAGCCGGCCCGAGGTTCTGGAACAATGTGACAGCAGCGGTGGCTGCTGGGATGTCGGAGAGGCCGAGAGTTGATTGCACACCCATCATCGGCTGCTGCGATCCTAGCCCAACACCAACTCCGGCTATAATGGGATATGTAATCCATTCCCTGGGACCGGTATCGATTTCGAAAGTTGTCATCAGTCCCAGGCCTACGGATCCTAGAATTGTGGCAATGAGCATGAAGGGGTTGTACCATCCAGTAAAGGTGACCAAATAGCCGGCTGTCAAAGCGGCAACAACCTCGCCGCCGACATAAGGGACGAGCTTGATTCCAGATTCTCTGGCAGACTCGCCCTTGATGGCCTGAAACCAAATTGGGAGCCAAATGTCTGCTGTATAGTAGGCTGCGTCGATACAAGCAGCATATAAGCAAGCGAAAGCGACGTTGCGCATCCTCATGAGGCGTGGAGGCAGAGCTGCTTGATCTCCCTTCCAAGTCTGCACGCCGATGAAACAGGCAAGAAGAACGCCAAAAGCCACGAGGAGCGCGATCATGGGGCCGCTGTTCCACGCATACTCTGAGCCGCCCCACTGAAGAGCCAGCAGCAAGCAGATCATGCAGGCGAAGAAGATGGAGAGTCCGAGTACATCGAACTCCATGAGTTTCTGCTTGAGGGTTTTGTTCTTGTCTTGTTCAGGTTGTTGGGGGGGCCTGAAGCAGAACCAGATCAGTGCCATCGTGGCGACTCCAATCGGAATGCTGACGTAGAAAGCCCACCTCCAGGAAAGGTGGCTATCAGTCAAAGCTCCAGAAATCAGCGGTCCAATGATGCCACCCACTCCGGAAAAAGCGCCGAGGAACCCAGTGTAGACGGCGCGTTTCCGGATAGGCACACAATGAGCAAGAACAACCCATGCACCAATAATGATGCCACTACATCCAATACCGGTGATGGCCCGACCGACAATGAAGGCGATGGAGTTTGGCGCGCTCCCACAGACTGCGAGGCCGACTTCCCTGAAAGCGATAGCCACCATGAACGTCCATTTGAGCGAGAAGAGTTCAAAGCACTTCCCGTAGACCAGTTGAAAAGAGCAAAGCTGTGGCAGCCATCAGCAAAACCCATGTGATATTGAAATACGGTTGTCAGACTTACACTGAGCATGTAGGCGGAGCCATACCATCCGACATGCTGCAAAGAATTGAACTGATTGGTGATGGCAGGAATGGCGGTTGCAATCAGGGTCATGTCCAAGAAGACGAGGAATACAGCCATGGCGAGCCCAAGAATGATCAACGCCAGCCTAAGACCTTTTGGATATTCAACATCTGCGTCGTCAACATCATCTGCGTTGCCGGCTTCGTTGGCATCACTAGCTTCTTGGGTGGAATTCAGAACATTGCTAGCCTTCTCGTCGACCGTGACTGCCGTCCCTTCAGTAGTAGAGCCAGTGTCTGAGCAGGTGGGAGACGACGAAGGCAGGGTTTTCAGATCCAGGTTGCTCATGGTTGCCTTTGCTTCCTGAATAGATGTCATTGAGAATTGAGTCAGGCAAAATGACTGTTGGTTGTATGTAGAAAAGAAATATAGACCAGAGTGAATGACTGAAGGAGAAATGCCACATAGCAATTTCCAGACTGGTAATGAATGGTCTTTGGCGAAACGAAAACTGTGAGCCAGCCATAGAAGTCTCAGCCCTGCCATGCAAACAACGAAAGGATGTATTGCGCTATTGCGTGCGTGGCAAAAGACATCCACAATCATTATGATCTAGCCTGGAAACGTGCCACATCGCGAAATCCTATCACATTTGGATGGACCACCCGGAACCCAGGCTACTGGGTAATTCCACCGCAGCATTGGTGCTAAGACGAGGTAGGTGATGGTCCACATCAATCGGAGGCTGCAGTCTGGACGAACCTGTGGGGCCATGTCCAATATCCGTCGCCCTCGTTTGCCTGCATTGTCTGGTCTAGTTGCTGATGGAGGCACCGCCTTTACTAGGCATGGGGTATCCTGGCGAACCAACTCCTGGGATTAGGTGTGTCTTGAGGCATAATGGGTGCTGAGTGTATGCTAAGGCGTAGCTGGCCTAGAACTTGCCCGCTCTTTGACGCCATTGGCTCGCGCAAGGGTTGCACGCCTCTTGGCGACAATCCTATCTCGCAGCGGTTCAAGCCTGGGAAGATAGTGTACTGGAATCCACTACAAAAGGACCACCCGAGGCATCAGCAACCACAATAGGAAGCCGCCTAGGAGGGGTCTCATCCTACAACATGGATTCTCAGCCACAATAGAATTGCATGCGAGGATGGCATAGCGAGCTTTCTAATGAATGATAGGATCGGATTGATTCCCTGATGTGACCAAGAAGCCTTTTCTCGACCTGCCAAAGGCGGATAGGAACATTTCTAGGCAACTGGGAAGTGTTCTTGTCCTCATTTCGGTTGGCAGCCCATTCTTCGTGATAGCTCGTGTTTCTCGACCCTGTGAAACGATAAGCAGTAAGACGACAGGTCAGCTTCGACGCCCGCAAAACAGACGCTGTTTCTCATACAAGTTGCTAAAACAGCCTTACTGACTCAAGATCGAAGAATAGTTCCGCTTTTGGTGCATACTGCAGCTTCTACCGGCCACTGCCGATCCGTAAGGCTGCCTTACAGTCTTACATGCAGCCAACATTCATCATGTCTAAGCAGCATGTTCAGTCTGTTTGAAAAGCTTTACTGTCTTCTGGGGATCTTTACTAATGACAGCTTTTGAAAATCTTGAGGTTACAGAATAGATGACGTGTAGTTTTGAGTGAATCATGGATTGGATTACGATCGTAAGTCAGATGTTGTCTCCCCTGTCTCCTCCCTGTCTTCCATCACATCACTTCGCCCGAAAGTTATGATCATATGGCTTCATGGGATCACCATCCCAACCCACCCCTTGACTATTATGGAGACTGTAGACTTTGTTTAACCCTAAAGTATTACACGCAAGAGTCTAGATTGGCCCTCAATGCTCCCGGTGTCTTCCCCGTGGTGTGTTTCTAAAGTGAGAAACAGATACCTGCGAATGGTTTGTCGAATAAACCTTGCGGACCTCCGCCGAGCTGACGAACTTTTAGACTATGGATCTAGGCCCTGTCTTGGAACTTCGGCGATCAAGCTTTCTTGGAGAAAGTGCCTCCTCGTGCTGAATCCCTGAAAGTAACAAGACATCTGTGATGAAGGATTGCGGCAGGTGGCAATATTACGATTATCAATCCTACCGTGACCGAATCAGAGCTTCTAATTGTAGCCAATGCCATGATCAATACGTATGAGCAGCCATTAACATCGACTTGTCCACGAAATTTTCATCCTAGAGGAAAGAGAGGGCTTGGGAAGTGGTGTGCTCCGCATGCCCTTGGCGCAAGTCTACCATGTGAGCAGTGACTTTATTGCTCGTGGTGTGTGAAGGATTGATCCCAACTTAAGAGGCGAGCTGCTGCTTCTTTCTCTGCGTAAGGGACCTCTTCTCCTCTGATATTCCTCTATACCTGCAATCGTTTTCTTGCGCCGAAAGAGTGGCCTCGATATCTAATTCGCTCTCTTCGTGGCTTATTGCGGCATAATAAGCAGAGTGACAAAATGATACCATCTACTCATTTGCCCCATCCTCGGAACTATAAGTCCGTGGAGACTATTTTTTTTCATCATCACCAATTTCAAAGTCTCAAAAAACAAGCTGGATGTTCGGCCTCTGCAATTATACGACTCGCCTGCGCGATATCTTTGCAGGCCTTTTGGCCTGCCGACTCCGCTAGCTTGATTTTCCAAGGCAGCGATATAGCCTGGGAACGTTGGAGTAAAGACCTTTCACGAAGCGAAAGGGTTGTGACACTCCTACAGCATGACAGTATCAAACCCTCACAGTCGGAGGAGGAAACTATATTCCGACACGCTTTGTCGGTCATTGAGCTTGAAGATGATCTTCACACGTTCTCAGCTATTCCGTCTCTGGACAGCGTAAAAATGATTGATTCAAACGTAAGTCGCATATTGCTTCACCATAAACGCTTTATCTGACAGAATCCAGGTCGAGGTCCTATTCACCGCCAGTTGGGACGCCTTCACGAAGGGAATACTCTTGAAATGCGAACACACAATATCTTGGTGCTCTGACTGGCAGGCTAAACGCGTTCTTTTCACATTTCGTCATGTTCTGGAGGGCATTGTCGCACAACCTTACTCACAGCTATCTGAAATCGAGCTGTTGAACGAGCGTGACTATCAGCAATGCCTTGATTGGAACCAGTCTGTACCTGAGCATTTCGACACATGCGTGAACCAGTGGATCGAAAAACACGTCCATGAACAGCCCCTGAGCCCGGCGATCGAGGCTTGGGACGGGAAAATGTCATACGCTGAGTTAGGGGAGGCTTCAGACAAGGTTGCCCATGAGCTTTTCCAACAGGGTGTTGGTCCCGAGTCCACTGTTGCCCTCTTCTTCGAAAAAAGCATCTGGAATACGGTTGCCACTGTGGCAGTACTCAAAGCTTCCGGCGCGTTTGTTCCCCTGGACCCTTCTCAGCCCACCAGTCGCATTTCTTACATTTTGGATCAAGTAAGACCGAAGTTGATACTTTGTTCAACAGAGCACAAGAAACGGTTGCTCGAGATTTCGCAAAACGTGGTTGCCTTGGACGAGGCATGGATTCGGTCAACCGCTTCTTCATTACTTCCGCACCCGTGCTCACCGCGACCTTGGAACTTGGCCTACATCATGTTCACCTCCGGAAGCACAGGTGAACCCAAGGGAGTGATGATAGATCACTCTGCCTGCGCAGCCGCCGTATCATGCCACGGAAACGCCACCGGCTTCAGCCGGAATACCAGAACTCTTCAGTATGCTCGCCATACATTCGATGCATCCATTGCGGAGATTCTTACTACACTCGCTTTTGGCGGATGTGTGGTGGTGCCTTCTGCAGATGAAAAACTGAACAACATCGCAGCCGTCATACAAGAGAAGAAAGTGAACTGGGCTTTCTTCACACCTTCTGTGATTCGACTACTTGAACCGTTCGAAGTTCCTGGTTTGACGACTGTTCTCCTTGGCGGGGAAGCCATTGGTCAAGACAACATCGAGAAATGGGCCTCTGGGCGCAAACTTGTTGCTGCCTATGGTCCTACTGAGAACACCGTCTTTTCAACCATGCACCCACTACATCTCTCCGCAAAGGCAGGTGTTATTGGACGCGGCGTCGGGACTCGCTGCTGGATTGCCGATCCAGAAGATCCCAGTCGTCTTTCTCCTATCGGGGCACCTGGAGAGCTTCTTCTCGAAAGCCCACAGCTTGCAAGGGGCTACTTGAACTACGCAGAGAACGAAGGGCCAAACAGAGATTTCATTCGCAATTCCCCTAGCCTAAACAAGCATGGTCGACGATCCAAGCTTTATCGGACTGGTGACATTTGCCGCTTCGACCAGAACGGTGTCATACATTTCGAAGGACGAAAAGACAATCAACTCAAAATATCCGGTCAGCGTTTGGAGGCATCCGAGGTCGAATACCATTTGAGAGCTGCATTCAACACCAAAGACGTTGTTGTCGATGTGCTCGCTAGACCGAGCCATGGGAACAAGCCTCCGTCAAAAGTTCTTGTTGCCTTCGTTTGCATCGAAAAATGCCCCAGGAAAGAAATCTCTCATTCTTCCTGTATCATGTCTCATCAGTACAAACCACTCACGGACGCAGTCTCCAGAGTCGAAGATGAGATCTCTCGAACGCTTCCATCATGGATGCATCCTTCGATCTTCATCCCTCTCTACTACTTGCCTCTGAGCCCCAATGGTAAAGCAGATGTCAAGAGATTACGTCAGGAATTCGCAGCTCTTACGTCTGATCAACTCTACTCGGTCGCCCAGACTGAGAAGACCGCACATGAAGAGGAGACAGATAAGCTTCGATTGATGCGACAGCTCTGGGCAGATGTGCTTGGTGTTCAGTCAACCGCGATCCCTACTACGGCCAATTTCTTCCGGCTAGGAGGGGATTCGCTTGCAGCTATTGGCCTGGTCACTGCTGCACGGAGGAAGGGCCTGCAATTGACTGTAGCCCAGATCTTCAAAACGCCTGTTTTGCATGATCTTTCCCATCTTCCAACCGTGAGCAAAAGAGCTGCACTCAGAGCTCAACCGCTGGAACTACTCAGCGACAACTCGAGCTATTCAGAAACCCTTAAAGAGATTGCCGAAGAATGCTCTATTTCTGTCGAGGACATCGAAGATGCCTTTCCCTGTACTCCGCTGCAAGAAGGGCTGATGGCTCTATCAACCTCGACATCCAACTCTTACCTGGTGCAGTACGTCATACAAATTCCTGTGGAAATTGATGTCGCAAGATTGAAGAGGGCATGGGAGTCAGTGGCTCAAGTTCATGGCATTCTCCGTACTCGACTAGTCGACACACTTTCTTCTGGCATCCTTCAAGTTGTCATCCAAGAGAACTTGGCCTGGAATGAGAGTTTCAACCTGCAAGAATACCTCGAAATGGATTTAAGACAACCCTCCAATTTTGGGGCACAACTGAATCGCTTCGGTATCATCTACGCCGAGAATGGCAACGCCTCTTCCATGGTCTGGACAGTTCACCATGCCGTGACTGATGGCCACGCCGTTGGTCTCACTTTGCAGGCAGTCCGAGCTGCATTTCACGGAGCTCTAAAGACCGTTGAGGTCTCATTCTCCACGTTCATCAAATACTTCAAGACTATGCATGCAGAATCGTCTTCCAGGTACTGGAGCTCGGTATTTGAAGGAGGAGAGTTCACTTCGTTTCCACCGAAGCCACTATTGACTGCAAGGACTTCGGAAATCACCACTTCTGCCTTCGCTTGCCGAAGCGTGCCGCACCCATCACCAAGCACCGGAGTTACAGTCACAACTATACTTCGTGCAGCTTGGGCACTTGTAATAGCACAGTTCAGTGGATCTGAAGATGTCGTTTTCGGTATCACCACCTCTGGGAGGAATGCTGCCTTAGACAGCATTGAGACTGTCGTCGGCCCAACCATTGCGACTGTGCCTTTGAGAGTCAAATGCAATGGTAAGACGCCTATCCATGAGTTTCTGGAGGAAATCCAGATGAGCACCATCAGCATGATTCCTTACGAGCAAATGGGCATACAGAATATTTCCCGTATCGATGCTGCATGTCGGGCAGCCTGCGATTTCCAAAGCATGATGATCGTCCAGCCAGAGGTCGACATGGCTATGAACGGTAGTCCTTTCGTCAAGTGTGACAGGCCCCAAGATCTTGATAAATTCAGATCACATGCCGTCATGCTTGAGTGCAACCTTGGACGACAAACCGTGTCTCTCAATGTCAACTACGATACTCAATATCTTGAACCAGTCCAAATGGAGCGCTTACTTGATTACTTCGAGAGGGCTTTGGACTTTCTGGTGTCCACTGGAAGCCAATGCATCGAAACTTTATTCAACCAGCCAACGGCCCGGGACCTTGCTGATATTCGAGAATGGAACAACAAGATTCCTCAAACCGTCGATTCCTGCGTCCATCACGTGTTCCAAGAACATTGCCACTCTCATCCAGACGACCAGGCTGTATTTGCTTGGGACGGTGTTCTTTCCTTCTCTGAGCTGGATATCATGGCTTCGCGGCTGGCTCGAGTCCTCGTAGAACTACATGTTGGACCAGAGACGAAAGTTGCGTACTGTTTCGAAAAGTCCATGTATACGGTGGTCTCGATGCTCGCCATCCTTAAAGCTGGCGGTACTATGGTCCCACTCGATCCGGCCCATCCTCCCGAGCGCAAAGCTTTCATCATACAAAACATCGTTGCGAATGTTGTGATTGCTTCCGCTGCAAACGCAAACATGTTCGCGAGTCTGGTTACGCATGTTGTTATTGCCGATTCAAATCTGTTCATCCGGCTGGAAGAACTCGAAGTCGCTCCATTTTCAAGCACCGATGTCCAGCCATACAATGCCGCCACTGTTCTTTTCACTTCTGGCAGCACCGGCGAGCCCAAAGGAGTTGTTCAGGAGCATAAGACATTGTGTTCGGCAGCATATGCACATTCAGCTGCAATGCAAATGTTCCAAAGCTCTCGGATCCTCCAGTTTTCTGCCCACGTTTTCGACGTCAGTATTATTGAGATTGTCAACTCCCTGGTGCTTGGGGCATGCATCTGCATTCCGTCTGATGAGGAGCGAATGAACGATCTGGCTACATTTATCTTGCACTCTCAAGCAGATTGGGCCTTTTTTACGCCGTCGTTCGCACGTACCTTAGATCCTAGAGACCTTTCCAGCCTGAAGACTGTCTGCATGGGCGGTGAAGCCATGACACTCGACAATATCCAACGTTGGTCCGATCAAGTCCAGCTCATCAATGCGTATGGCCCTTGTGAAGGCAGCGTGTGCACAACTAGCAATTTCAGCAATGTACCCTCCAAAACAGATTCGATTGGTCACGGAGTCAATTCTCTCATCTGGATCGTCAACCCAAACAACCATGACATACTGGTACCTATCGGTAGTATCGGCGAGATACTCATCGAGGGCCCAAACGTTGCTCGTTGCTACCTTGGTGACCAGGGTAAAACAGACAAGGCATTTATCGCGAACCCGGCATGGATCGCGCAATTTGAAACCAATAGTGCTGTCAGAAGGATGTACAAAACTGGTGATCTTGGCATGCTGAATTCTGACGGCACAATATCTTACCTCGGAAGAAAAGATGCACAAATCAAACTTCGTGGACAGAGAATCGAGCCTGGGGAAGTGGAAAACCAACTCGCAAAGTTGCTGCCCTCAGACTCCACCGTTGTCGTTGACGCCTTCTTATTGTCGAACAATTCAACAAAGTCTCTGGTTGCGTTCGTCCAACTTGATAATCAAGCATACGGCTTCGCCGAGAAGAAGGACATTGTTAACAAACTTTCTGACCGTCTCAAGCTGCAACTTGCCTCGGTTCTTCCCGCTTACATGGTCCCGTCCCACATAACTGCCGTCGAAATGATTCCTTTCACCTCAACGGGCAAGCTTGATCGACGTGCACTTGGCCAGTATGCCTCGTCACTATGTATTAATACCAAAACACCGGAGACTCAGTTCATCGACAGAAATTTTGGTGCGACTGATATCTTGCGAGCTGATGAGCAAATTGCAGTGCGGATTAGCGATAAGCTCGCCAATCTGCTTTCTGGAGGCGATCATCAGCATGCGGAATCCCTACGCGGTCACAACTTCAATCCATACCACGCTGGCATGGACTCGATCCAGGTTATCTCGCTTGCGACATTTGTTAGAAAGACCTACAATGTCAGCTTACCGATCCAGAAGTTCATGGATAGTGCAACAACCGTTCGAGACATTGCTCAATTAATCATCAACGATCAAGACATGTCTTCTCAAGATGGGGAACTCGACTTGCTTCGCGATATAGAACTGCATGATCGGAACCTCGCAGCCCTTCCACTACCAAGAGCAGAAGGGCAAAGTTTCAGTCCTGTCGAAGTCATCTTGCTGACGGGAGCAACCGGATTTCTTGGAAACCAACTGCTGGCGCAGATTTTGGGACGATCGAAGACTCGCAAGGTGGTGGCTCTAGTTAGAGGCCAAAGCTTTGCTCATGCGGCTGAGAGACTCATGTCTCTTGCTCGCAGCAGCACTTGGTGGCTGGAAGATTATTCCGAGCGTATCGAGGTTTGGCATGGAGACCTTTCAATGCCACGCCTCGGTCTCGAAAACAGGCACTGGGCACGCCTCGACGGCACAAGCATGGATGACGACTTGGTTGACGCGGTGGTCCACAATGGAGCTGTTGTGAACTGGGTGGCAGACTACCAGGCATTGACGCCAGCCAACGTACTCTCCACGGTCAATATCTTGACGGCATTGACGCAAGCAACAGCATCCCGGGCCGTCAGTTTGACGTACGTGTCTGGAGGCCACCTGTCAACTTCTCCAGACAACATCTTGGAAATAGCCAAAGAGCTCAAGTCGTACCCAGCATACAGCCAGACGAAATTTGTCGCTGAGATCCTGGTTTCACGGTATGCAGAGCGACTCGCCCGAGCTGGCTACGGGCCTCTTGTCAGCATCGTGAAACCTGGATTAATCATGGGCAGCTCCACTGATGGCATTTCTAACACTGACGATTTTCTTTGGCGAGTTACAGCCAGTTCACTGGACATTGGCCTGTACAACAATGATGAGCATGGTTTCTGGCTTGCTGCAGCAGGGGTCGATCTTGTGGCCAACAAAGTGTTGGAAAGCTGCTTTCAATGTGGGTTAGGTGAAGCCACCCCCGTTGTCAAGAAGATCCTCAACGGCATGACTATGGAAGAGTTCTGGGACATCGTCATTCAAGAAACAAACAACCTTGCAGAACCGACCGACTCTAGTTCTTGGCGAGATTCTCTTCATAAGGAGGTTGAGTCACGAGGGTCCACGCACAAGCTGTGGCCGGTGCTGCACTTCCTTGATGACTCGGGGGGCAACCTCGGGCAGCCTCTAGGCTCGATGACGATGGAAGACCAACTCGAGCAACAGGATTCGGTGAAGAAGGCTCTGAGGCAGAGTCTGAATTATCTGGTCGCCATTGGATACATTAAGTCTAGCAGGACAAGTAGCGTGGACGGCGACAGCTCGAGCGGGCCTACGCTATTGTCCCCTAGTGCACAGATGTTCGCAAGGACGCCAACCACACCAGTCTGGAACAAGGCAGCGGCGGATTCGAAGAGACTGGGGTACGCTCACAACGATACAAAGTCACAGGCTTCCATACCGCTGACAGTTACGCCTTTGCGGACACCAAGTCCTTCAGTCAACATTACAAAAGTTGCGTGAAGGATGGTGTTAGGGGGGAGCGCTTGTTGTACGTGACGGTTTCCTCCTGGATAGATTAATACAAGTTAGTTCTTCTTGCTTAGTCTTATTTCTGTTAGAATACGAATAAGATCCGGAGTAACCAGAATACTGGGCAGAACCCACTTGTATATGGATCACCAGATTCTTCCCCTCTTCGCCATTTTCCCTTCTTCAGGCAACAGTAGATATCAATCAGAGACTCCTGCTTTGCCCTGTCAAAAGGCTGGACCTAGGTCACCTCACCCGTGATACCAACAATTCCGATATTTAGGTTGAAGATCATCAAATTATCGTCGCAATTCTCTAAATATACAATCGTCTGCTTCTCTAGATTATTTCAAGTCATGTTCAGGTATCACAACCTGGGTACGCCCTACTTAGATTTGGACGATATACCGCCTTTTCCTTGGTTTAACTGCCAAGCCTGCTGTAAGCTATGATGCGATGGAAGTGAAACCAGTTTTATGATTGGGTCGAATTGTATTCTTTCGCCCAGCGTCTAGTGATCGCAAAGTGAGGTTATTGGAGACTTTGAAACGTCCGACTGGCACTCGCCTAATTTGATAGCTCCTAACTCGGACTTCAACCAGAAATGATCAATGCACAGCATCGAGCACATCGTCTTTCATACTATAAGAATGAAGCCAAGAAAAATCGTGCTGGATAGCTATCTGTACAGATATACATTTGGGGTATGTATAGTGTATGAACGTGTAGGCGGGTTCATGCTGGACTGATTGATTGTGTAAACGTCCTATGTAGGTATTACCTATTCCATTTATTAACTGCTCTCCCTGGCCCAGGCCTACAACTTGCTCTTTTCAGAAATCAGTGTGTAAGCCCTGGGAAGAGACTCTAACAAGTCTTTGTTTATGTCTCCAATGGTCTTGACTCCTGCCACGTTCATCAAAATGTCCAAGTCGGCCAACAGTCCCCTGAGAACGTGTCTCACTCCGTGCTCCCCCATTATACTCAACCCCCAGATCCACAACCTACCGATGAAGACAAATTTGGCACCCAACGCCAGGGCTTTCACGATATCTGCTGCGCCCCTCACCCCGCTGTCGAATGTGACCACGATCCGGTCCCCAACCTTATCCGCAATCTTTTCCAGCGCATCCAGACTTGCAATCGCCCCGTCAACCTGACGTCCCGCATGGTTGCTCACAACAATTCCCTCGAACCCCAGATCCGCCGCCTTCTCTGCGTCGTCTACCCTCTGTATTCCCTTGATCAAGAACGGTTTACCGCCGCTAATCCGCTGCCATTGGTCTCGCGCCCACTTGGCCTTGTCCCAGGACCATGCGCGGCCGTGCCAGATGCTGTCGATCCACAATGCTGCCGCCCTCTCGGGCTCCTTCTGCGGATTGATGCCCTTCTCTTCAAGGCGCTTCTGGAACACGGGGTCAGTCAAGCCCAGCTTGGCACCGATGCCGCGATAGAAAGCATAGTTCGATGTGGCGACGTCATCGTGTCGCCATCCTAATTGCCAAGTATCCGTCGTGAGAATGCAGGCCGTAAAACCAGACTCGTGTGCCCTCGTCAAAAGCGATATGGTGAGCTCATCGTCATGAGGCATGTAGAGCTGGAAGAACCGCGGGCCTTCTGGAATCTTGGACTTGTCCTCCGACTGAAGCTCAACCGTAGATTCACGCCCGGCGTCGTTAGCTCGAGCAACTTCCTCAATGGGGTAGGAACCGGCCGTCGATAGACTGTACGGGATACCCAGCTCCCCGGCCACCTTCGCCACAGGTAGTTCACCTTGCGGATGATAGATTTTGTTGATGCCTATAGGTGCAATACCAAACGGTGCGGAGACCTCGTGCCCGAATATCGTTGTGCGAGTTGATCGCTTATTGGTGTCTATAAGCTGCCGGGGAAGGATCTTGTGCCTAAAGAAGGCTTGACGGTTTGCTAAGTGGGTATGGGAAAGGCCAGCATTCGACGAAGCATAGTACCTGTACTATTAGAAACTGTTGAGCGTTGAAAAATAGCATTTGGGGCTAATACCATCCATTTTGGGTCAGCTTCTGCTTGGCCAGCTCCTCGAGTTTGTCAGGGTCTGGTCTTTTGTCAGATTCAGATCTATCATCATAGAAGGCATGCTCGCATCCCTGTGTTGACACTTACGAGTGTTGAACTGGGGAACTTGGCCATCGTTCAGCTTCCAGAAATTTTCACGCTGATAGAGGCCCCATGATGGGGTATCGCGATTCTTGATGTGAGGAGAATTGGGGTCGGACATTTTTACTCGTGGGTACCGACAGGCTCTGCTTCCCGGAAGTGATGACAAAACAGAAGATGAAGCTCCTCTCTAGAAACGTGATCATGCGTGATGGATGAGATTATTTATCATCAAACTACATTGGCAGCTGGGTAAGAACACACTACGCAATAAGTCTGAATCCAGCACGGCCATGACGTAACTTATAGCTCATCACCCGAACTACGCAGTGGCTTCCGCTTAATCGGCCTTCGGTGCCGGTCTTAGTCACCTTAATTTACCTGATGCTTCTGAACCTCATTTCCACCTTATTCCGTAATGTGATATCATGAGTGGGAACGTCTGGTGCCGCCACTGGCAGTGAGGAAACTACCAGCCCTAATGACTAGATAAGTAAGCGGTATTGATGTATCAAAGCCGGTCGCAACTTCACGCTACTTTACATGGAAATCATTAATTAAAGTTCACGAATTCATTCAAGGTAGAGAGAGGGTTGGTTGAACATATCAGTGGGGGCCCTCACAAGATCCAATCCAGTTATGTAGAACATAACGCATGTTGACTAGCTAGCTTGCAGTACTCACCGCATAGCTAATTGCGATACATACTTGACGTACAATATTCCAAGATGGCACTTCACAGCAAGCAGAAGAATGAGAGACGCTATAAGAAGGCCTCACAAGGATCAACTGCTGCTAAAAATCGACAATGGACATAAGGCTTTAATGGAACTATCACTCGTGTTCAACAAGATACAGAGTTTTTAGCAACAAGTTTGGAACAACGATAAGCATTGCGAACTGCGTAAGGGCAATCTGATGTAGCACAAATATTCGAACTACTTGAGATGGAAACAATGTGAAAGCAGTGTTGTCTCCCGATCAAAGACGCGAGTGAAGCACAAACTCTCCCGGGGCGTGGTACGTGGGCACCTTCATCTCGAGGGCTTCCCCAGAGTATCCGAGGTCCTCGGCGACGAGAATGGCAGCCTTTTCGCCAATGAGCAAGGCGGTCGAGTATCTAGGATATGTTAGCCAGTTACACGTGACAAGTTATGAGGGATATTGTGACACACGTGTTGCAGCCGACGTTATCGGGGCAGATGGAAAGGTCAGCGACCTTAAGACCTTTAACGCCATGCACATTCAGACGCTCGTCCAATACGCCGTGTTTGACAATACTGTTGCCCTCCTTGGGAGCCATAGAGCAGGTCTAGTCTTTGTTAGTTGATGTTTTTCTCTCCTTACTGCGCAATACCACTTACCCCAAGGCTGTGCCAGGTGGTCTCGACGTGACGCTTAACCCATTCCTCGACGGCTTTGATGTCTTCGTTGCTATACTTGAGTGGCTCACGGACATCGACACGGTGGGCAGACAAGGTCTTCTTCAGATCGGCCTTCCTGTCTGCCTCGTTGAGCGGCTGGGTCCAGCTGCCGTGCTGAATACCCGCGCTGAGGTTCCCGGGCAGAGCGTATTTATTGGTATCGGGGAGGTTAAGGTCTCTTGCTCGCGCGTCTGAGTCGTACGAGAAGAATGGGTGCATGTTGGCGACCTCGCCGGCGTAGGCGTCCATGCGGCGGGCCGTCTCGCGCGACTTGATGTAGCCCCATACCATGGGAACCATGTCGCGCTCGTCGTTCATAAACCCGGCGTCAAAGTCGGGCGAGTCGTACGGGTTGGGCGATGTGATGTGCGTGGATCCACGCGAGAAGGGGTATTCAAGGAAGTGGAACATGGTGAAGAAGTTACCGGGGGGCATGACCATATGGTCTCCAAACCAGCCGGCAATGACCGAGTAGTGCATCACGGGCTTGTCAGGCTTGTTCTCAAAGTATGACTTCCAGCCGTCCTTAAAGTTTGGGGTCGGCCAACGCTCAAACTCCCTGAGTTCTTCGGGGGTTGGGCGGATCTTGACGCCGGCTTCGATGCCGTTTGTGGCCAGGGGACCAGTACCTTTGATGTTCCATTCGTCGAAGACGCCTAGCAATGATTAAGTCAGCCGTCGTTTTCAAGACACTTCTACCGGGTCCTTACGCTTCTGGACCTCAGGGTCTCCACGAACGAAGTCGTCAAAGCTCTCGGTGCCAGGCTTCGCGCGATAGGTCGAGAAGGTTAGGTAGTGGTCCTGAAAGTTGAGACCAACACCAGGGAGGTCAACTATGGGCTCGACGCCAGCGCGTCGGAGCTTCTCGGGGTCACCGACGCCGGAACGCTGAAGAATGAGGGGAGACGAAAGAGTTCCGCCAGATACAACAATCTGCTTGCGGGCCCTGAATGTGCGTCCTTTAAGCTCACTTGAGTCAAGCGGCTTGCTCGGTCTGGGTTTCAAGTTAGATTTACGCCCTGTATCCTCTCAGAATCACTTACACCGTTTGAACGGCAACGGCTCGGCCATTCTCGATGATGACCTTGTCAACCTTGGTGTTGCAGGCAAGATAGAGATTGGAGTGCTTGGCTCGAGTTGCGTGTATGTACGCGTGGGCACTGTCACTGCGACGGCCAGTCTGGGGTAGTTATGGTCAGCAGCGTGTCTGATCAGTGATAGGGCAAACAGGAAAAGTAGGATGCTCACATCGCGGTTGATCCACTTAAGCCACTGTTCAGCTCCATGGCCAGTGGTCAGATCTTGAAGATCATCTACAACAGGGATCCCCTGGGATGAGGCAGCCCGGAGGAAGTCATCCTTGATCGGGTAGGCGCTAAAGGATCAGGAGGTTAGTTTCGGGCCATCCGTTGAACCCCCGCATATTAGTTGTAAACCTACTAATTGCCAAATGAAACCTTGATGGGCCCGTCGAAACCATGAATGTCCCTTTTTGTCAAGTATTAGTCGACATAGTTTACGGTTACAATGCAAGCAATGTGATTCGTTACCGGTTGTGAGAAGCTCGCTGATAGGTTTCGTGCTTCTTCATGAGGGGTAGCAGCTCCTTGGTAGACCACCCCTTAGCCTGAAAGTCGTCATAGTCCGAGGCTGAAGCCCGGGTGTACATCTGGTAATCGCATCAGCTAAACCTATTCTATTCCCGGGAGCATTGACATATATGGCTAATTACTGACCATGAAGTTAATCGAAGAACCACCACCCAAAATGTTGGCACAGGGCACAATTGCGGATCGACCGGAAAGATGCTTTGAGGGCCTGGACTCGTAGAAGGTGGCTGTTTTCGAGTCCAGCTTCATGTTCCGAGGGTAGATACCTGGCCGAAAGACCCATGGGTTGTTAAGGTTGCTTTCACCATTTTCAATGAGAAGGACCTTGAGGTTGTGATCCAAGTTGGCAAGTCTGTGGAGGATTAGCATTTCTCAAAATAACCAATAGTCTGTATAGATGAGACGAACCGACCGGCAACGACGCAGCCGCAACTACCACCTCCGCAGACAATAATGTCAAACTCGTCTGGAATCGATCCGCTCATGATGGCGGTTGACAAGGACAAGAGAGACTATAGAAACAATGAGGGCAGCTTGATGAGCAAAAGAAGTAGAAAGGCAATCGTTACTATAGCGTGCCGTGATAACCACGTCGAGGTCAACTGCAACAATGCCAAGTAGAGTCCGTGGAACAGTTGAATGATATTTCAGATGAAAGCCAGCCGTTCGGGACTGTCTTTAAATATTTAGGCAAAAGCCCAAGCTTGAAGGCATCAGTGCTGCTTCCTCATCACGCGGCCACATCGTAATCGACCCCGACTTTACTTCGGACTATCCAAGATCTCAACCCAAAGACCCAACAGGAAGGGAAGCAGTGAGGGGAAGCCATGGACTATCCCTCCGAGATACTGCGGACCTCGAGATGTGATTCGATCGAAAGGATACAGATTCCGTGTCATCCGGTTTTCTGAGTAGCAACCTACCTATCATCGACGCGCGTCTATGGAAGTAAGGGTATTACCCCGAAGGTGAATGCATGGCAGCATGGTCATGCCCTCTCAGTCGATCAACATACTTCTCAGCTTCCCCGCACTCGCCGAGGGAGATGGCGCAGGAGTTTACCAGTTTTACGCGGTGATAGTGCTAGGCCGATGTCCACGTTGGCTAGTAAATGAACCCAAGCTCACTGCCGATGTGCAACACTTCCGCACGCCCGATGACGATTTGCTGTCATCACGTCCAAACAATGAACTACCGATAGCTCGTGCGGAGTAGCTGGCCCACACCTGAACAAGAAAAACCCAAAGAGTTCTGATACGAATTCAATGGGTTGTTCTCTAACAAATTGAGCGCTAGCTTTGTGCCCAAGTAATGGCATCATGTATCTAAACCTGGGAGCTCCAGCTCTTGTATCATGTTAGTAGGAGAGCTCCCTAGTGGGAGCTGGCTCCTACGCCTTTGCCTCAATGCATCAGATGTATTTTCAGACCGGTATTGCTTGCCGGTTAGCTTGCTCCTAACTTGGACGAGTCATTGATAATCCGGGGGTGGACTAGGTTGGTGCCGCCCCCGCGTGTCTGCACCCCGCAATTCAAAGCCCAGGGTAACATGGGGGAGTTAGCCCGATGGTCATATCCTTAGAGTCCAAGCTTGCTACGCCTATCGAGGCTCATAGGCTTTTCAATTTCGTCCAGCCGGGGTCGGCCAACCCCTCCTCAACGGCCCCGGAGACATTTCAGAGTGCTAGACAACTTGGAGCAATCGGATAGCTGCGGATGATGGAGTGCTGCAGGACAGCGAATCACATATGCTCGAGCCTGTGCATAGCCCATGCAACGAAGTGCAGAATGTAGTGCCGCCACCTCTCGTTTGAAGTTACCGGCTGTGGGGTTCGGGTGAGGGTGTCACTGGGATCAGCTTTTCAGGAGTGCTAGTGGCTGAAGAGCGTTTCAAGGATCCCCATCACGTTGCATCGGTTGCTCAGCTATTCGTGATAGTTCTGCCGCCCCCAACTTATGAACCTCTCTAGTCTTCATTTGTTGCTTCCCCAAATAGTTTTCTTTCCGTAAGGTTTCACAACATCTAAACTTTTCCAAAGTCTAGTCCGTCCCAAAGCTAGGCTGGGGGCCGTTCCATAAATCATGTTA